TTAAGTATTTTAGAGTACAGCGCCTGTCAACTTCATAAAAGCTCATTTATTAAACTACACATGAAAGAACTGATCAGCAGGACATGATAATTAGTCTTAATGAGTCCTGCAGAATCATGATGATCATACAGCATGAGCGGTGAGGATAGAGCGCAATAAGAGCAGAACTACGCTATCAGAGAAAATGATCGTCTGTCCAAAAGTCGACATCAGTAGTGTTCGAAATGCTTTGTGCTGCAGATGTGCTGACTCATCATGAACTCTGAGGGGAGAGTTAAGCGTTTTAAAGTGTTAAATATAATGAAAACAGTTTGTTCAGTTAAAACAGTCATGATTTCTTGTAACCAGATGCACTAGTGTATCATAGTGCCGTGAGAGGGTTTTGGCACATTTAAAAAAGTATTAAACAGGAAATTCTACTGATCTGTTAGGAGAGGTTCTCAAACAATGGACTGACCATCCCAGACCTCAACATCAATAAACGTATTTGGGATTATTTAAATCTTGCGAAGCAGAAAATGCAACCATCTTCTAGGACTGAACTTTGGAGGTTTGGAAAAAAATACCTGCAGATTTCTCTGAAAAACTAAAAGCGAGGCCCAATCCCATTTCACCCCTCGCCCCTACCACTTAGCCCTGTGCCCTCTGTTTTTGTGCATTCACGCCTAGGGGTAGGGTGTCCCGATTTTAGTTGAGATAGAGGGGTAGGGCGAAGTGTTAGGGCTATGTGGCCCTCCAAACAGAGGTTTTTCAGAGACTCAATCCAAACAGAGTGTTATGAGAAAAAACGGCAATGGCAAGACGGCGGTGCGAGCGGTGTGAGCGACCAACGAATCCCACAAATGTATTTTCTCTGTTAAAAAATGACGATAACCATTGTATGATCTTAGTTTAATGCCGTTTCAATGTATTATGGTCCTTCATAACAAGCATAAAAATCGCTAATAGTATGCTGATGTCTCGGTGCCTAGCTGGCTAAATTTCCTGTTCCACCTTAAATAGTCAAGCAGTACCGACACCTGAAGCTCCAGAATGTAACTGCCACTCCATTTAAGGCGGAACAAGAAAATTTGAATGAGAAGCTGGCGAGTAGCTGACTTCAGCTTCATATCACCGAAGAATTATCGCACCCCTTTTTTTTGCTGAAATTTACCCTCCTCTGCTATCACTGCAGACTGGCAGGGTCGCCTACAGAGCACCACTAGTGGCCTCTTAATGAAATAATGTTCTTCTTTATTTGAGGGTCGTCTACTTCATAGTGAAGATTTCAACCACTTACCCTTGTAACTCAGTTCGAAGGGGCAAGGTGACACTGGAAAACAAGGGGTAGGGGTAAAAATTAGACATGGGATTTGGCCTAAGTCTCCTGAAAAGAATGGAAGCTGTGTTAAAGGTAAAGAGTGGACACTATATTTAGTTCTTCTGTGTGATTTTCTGTCAGTTTTCTGCTGATGCTTAATGTCCATTCTGACTGGAAATTAAATTAATTAATGGTGGTCTCTGACTTTTGCACAGTATTTGTACACATCTTTACACATCATATCAAAACCATGTAGCTACACTTTCCCCCCATTTTTATGTCCCTCCGTCATCTGGGCACAGCAGCTGCTCTTTGCATTGTGTAAGCATTTCATGTCCAATGGCCCAATGATGGTTCAAAATTCCTTGGAAAAGAATGTTGTTACATTAACATACTCTTTAAAAAGATGTCTCTTCAAGGGTTCTTTAGCAAAGACAGTGGTTCTACATAGAACTATGAACACTCAAAGGACTATTTGCATGCTTAAATGGTTCTTTGCATGGTGGTTCTTCAGATTGATGTTGAATTTGTTGTATATGGTTCTATATATTACCAAAAAGGGTTCTTCCTCTGTTGCAAGCTTGGCGTCATAACAATAGCAGAACCCTTTCTGTGCTGTATAGAAGCATTTTCAAATAGATTCTTTATAGAACAATAGACAACATATTCTCCAGCAATCTGAAGACAACTTCACCATGCAAAGAACCATTTAAGCACGCAAATGGTTCTTTGAGTGTTCATGGTTATGGAGAGGTTTTGTCGGGACAGCCACAATATGCAGAGATATACTGCTCAAATTCCCAGTGAAAATTATAAATAAAATAGATGAAATAAAATAGAAAAGATATTTCTATGATATTTGAAGACGATTCTGTACAAACAGCTTTGTAAAGAAGTGGCCTTGTAGCAAGACTGCTTTAAGAGGCAGGAAGCCAAACAAGGGTTTATCAGGACATCAGCTTGAGGTTTTGAAAGTCTTGAGTAATAAGTGTGACAAAAACAGTGCATCATAACTCCGTCAAACAGATTTCAGAAAGTCTCCAAAATTCTTTCGTTTATTCGTTTAATATCATACGCTTGGCCTGCAAACCTCTATTTATCAATCTAACTTGAGCTCTAAAAGTTCTGCCATCAGTTCCAGTGTTCTGACATACTTTCAGGGCGTTTAATGTATGCAGCCATCTGTAGTACAAATAGAGAATAATGTGTGGTTGAATAAGTGCTTTGAAGATCAAGAAAAGGTCAGGCAGTCGATTAAAGCCTCAATAACAATAAGCCTCTATAGGCTAAGAGGCACACTTAAGGAGAAACCCTGTAGCTTTACTGCAGGCTTCTGCATCATTTATCCGAAGTTGCATCACTGCTGGCTGTCTTATTTACTTTCCTCAGAGTTATCATAAAGAGAAATGAGCACTGCTGGGGTTTCTGACCGCTCTCCTGAGAACGGGCAGAGCGGTTCCCTGCACTTTCACAGCCTTTATCTCTCTTTTGATGGATTTGTGCAGAGCCTCGCGAGCATACAGTGTACAGTGCAGTTATCAGTAATCAAACAGGGCTTTACAAATGGAATGTCGCCTGAAGAGCGGCTCGGTGGCCAGAAACTGACCATTAATTCAGCAGATGGGCTACAATCTCCAACTCTGCACAAGCAAGGCAGGTGTTTCAGATAAAATAGCCATGTGAGTGTATTATATAAGCTAGGCTATATAGCCTATGCACAAAACCTCAGCACTCAGCTTCTGAACTGTTTCAGCACCTGAGCATCATTATTAGACTTATTTTGGACTCACCTTATTGGCCAAAAACACTTGCAGATACTAGGGATTTTCCTCAATGCATACGCATGCAGAACAACTGAGGAAATTAGAATTAAAAAGCTCTTTATCTGGTCTGTAAGCATTTATTTGCTCAGAAATACCTGAATATTAGAATAAATGCACATAATGTTGTTACAAATAGTGATTTTACATGTCAGTGGGCCTCCAATATCACCAATATTCACCAATATATCTTCATAGGTTTGTTCTTAAATTTGGTCTTGAGAAAGGTCCTACATCAGATTCGTGACGTGTTCTTAAACTGCAAAACTGTTCACACCTCTGTGCTCTTGCGTGTGTGTAGATTGTGTTCTTAGCTAAAAACAAATCCCAAATAAGAAAACATTTGTGAAAACTGTGTACATTTTTTTTTGTAAGAACGGTTTGTGAATGAGGCCCAATGCGTTCTCTTAACCATTTCCAAACCTCTCCTCAAGGAAGTCTAGTGTTATTTATGGTTTTCATGACATCTGGTTTGGCTAATCAATATATCATGTATATCTGGCTCACAATATATCAGCTACTGTTTTCAAAACAAGAAAATAATGATCCAATAACTTAATAATCCAATAACTGCAGAAAATCAGATTTTGTCAGTAATCTGATCAACATGTTCACATGCACTTGAGTAATCAGATAATGTGAAACTCCAGGTCAACATGACTCAGACAGTAATGAGATTTCTGCTTTGTAACCAGCCAATAAACTCACAGAAGAAGGCGTGACATAAACGTGATGTAAAGCTCAAACTTCATGCCGCGGCCTTTTTTTGTTAAAACATCCCACAACTTTACCTAAAAATATTAACATACATCATCTAGAAGATAAAGAAAATGTAAATCCTTCATTTCATCAAGCATGTAATTTCAACGTCTGTCCAAAAGTGTTTTGCTGCCGTCTTGTAGCTCGCTTATTTCCGGTACTGTCTGTTTTCGCCCATGCACAGACTGAGCAATCCGAAAGAAATCAGAGTAAGAGTTCACTTGCACTGAGAAATCTGATTACTGAGCTAAAATCCAGCTCTCTTTATCTAATGTCTTATTCGGAGACCTTACTCCGATCTAAAAAATCAGAGTATGCTGTTTACATAAGCATTTGAATAATGAGATAACTGCAGATATCTGACTATGATCAGATTATTGAGTACATGTAAACGCGCTCAATGTTACTTTTTACAGTATTTAGGTTCATTTGCATATATTCTAAAGACAGCAAAAACACAGTTATTATCAGAATAAATGTATTTTAAACAATGTGCCTTTTTAATGCCTGCATTTTTATTTGAATTGAGGCATCCTGGACATGACTCCAACGCTCGGAGTGCAGTTTAACTGTAACACATACATTATGAGGCTACACAGGTAACTACTGTCTGTCTACTGTAAATAACACTGACTAATGATCATGAACTGAGCAGCAAATACAGTGAGGATCAGTGTGAAAGCTGAAGTGAAGAGGGTGAGCAGGTACATTCACACAGGGACTTTCCACATAGACGGATATGACGGAGCAAGCAGAGAGAATATTCTGTGTAAAACAGAGGAGGGGGGGCTGATAGAGAGGAAAACGAGAGAAAGAGTGACAGAAGACAGGCAGAGAAAGAGAAAACAAATAGAGAGAAAGCGAGAACAGCTGATAGAGAAAATATAGACAGTGCAAAGACAAGAGGAATAGAAAAAAATAGAGGAAGGGGGAAAAAGAGACAAAAAAGAAAAAAATTATTCGGGTAAAAATAGAGACGCAGGAAATGAGAGAAGAAAGAAATCGAAACAGAACGAGAGAAATGAGGAGAGAGTAAAAGAAAGAGATTAACAATGTACTTTAACCGCTGAGTCTGTAGATGGTGGATATCTCTCTCTCTCTCTCTCTCTCTCTCTCTCTCTCTCTCTCTCTCTCTCTCTCTCTCTCTCTCTCTCTGTGAATGTGGGTAAATGGTGGTAAAGATCAGTCTGTTTCCGGGTGCTCTGAGGGGAAACCCGGCTGAAATTCACCTCCGCTCGGGTTTATAAGTGTTCCGCTCTCTGTGTGAGCGCTCCAGACGCTCTCGGCCTCGGTGGAGGAGAAGTGAAGCCGTGTCCATGGCGTCCTGCCCCGGCGAGAACGAGTTTCCCTGCGGTTTCCCTCAGAGCATCTGCGACGACCTGCCGCCTCTACATTACCTCTGCAGCAGCTGCAACAACGTGCTGAACGAGGCGCTCCAGACTCAGTGTGGACACAGATACTGCAGAGCCTGCGTGCTCTGGCTTATCAGGTCAGTCAGTAAACTTACTCACCGTGGTCAGTGCACTCGCTCATCAGGTCAGTGCACTCACTCACTCACTCATCAGGTCAGTACACTCACTCACTCACTCACTCATCAGGTCAGTACACTCACTTACTCACTCACTCACTCACTCACTCATCAGGTCAGTACACTCACTTACTCACTCACTCATCAGGTCAGTGCACTCACTCACTCACTCATCAGGTCAGTACACTCACTCTCATTAGGTCAGTATACTCACTCACTCACTCATCACGTCAGTGCACTCACTCACTCACTCATCAGGTCAGTACACTCACTCACTCACTCATTTATCAGGTCAGTACACTCACTCTCATTAGGTCAGTATACTCACTCACTCACTCATCACGTCAGTGCACTCACTCACTCATCAGGTCAGTACACTCACTCACTCACTCACTCATTTATCAGGTCAGTACACTCACTCTCATTAGGTCAGTATACTCACTCACTCACTCATCACGTCAGTGCACTCACTCACTCACTCATCAGGTCAGTACACTCACTCACTCACTCACTCATCAGGTCAGTACACTCACTCACTCGCTCATCAGGTCAGTACACTCACTCACTCACTCACTCACTCATCAGGTCAGTATACTCACTCACTCGCTCATCAGGTCAGTACACTCACTTACTCATTAGGTCAGTACACTCACTTACTCACTCACTCATCAGGTCAGTGCACTCCCATTACTCACACCCTCACTCATTAGGTCAATACACTCACTCGCTCATCAGTCAAGTACACTCACTTACTCATCAGGTCAGTGCACTCACTCACTCACTCACTCACTCATCAGGTCAGTACACTCACTCACTCATCAGGTCAGTACATACACTCATTCATCAGGTCAATACACTCACCCACTCATCAGGTCAGTACACTCAATCATCAAGTCAGTACACTCTATCATCAGGTCAGTACACTCACTCACTCTTCTGTTCAGTACACTCACTCACTCATCAGGTCAGTACACTCACTCACTTAGCAGGTCAGTACACTCACTCACTCATTCTTGAGTTCAGTACACTCACTCACTCATCAGGTCAGTACACTCACTCACTCATTCTTGAGTTCAGTACACTCACTCACTCATCAGGTCAGTACACTCACTCACTTAGCAGGTCAGTACACTCACTCACTCATCAGGTCAGTACACTTACTCACTCATCAGGTCAGTACACTCACTCGCTCATCAGGTCAGTACACTTACTCACTCATCAGGTCAGTACACTCACTCGCTCGCTCACATGATCATCAGGTCAGCACACTCACTATGTCAGTACACTCACTCATCAGGTCAGTACACTCACTCGCTCAGTCACCAGATCAGTTCACAGACTCATTCATTCACTCACCCGCTCAATCATTTACTGACTCAATCATCAGGTCAGTACACAGACTCCTTCACTCATTCACCAACTCGCTCAGGCAGTCTTCAGATCAGTTCACACGCTCACTCACTAACCTACTTGGTCATCAGATTAGTTCACAGACTCACTCCTTCACTTACTCACTCATTCACTCATTCAGTCCTCAGATCAGTTTACAAACTCACTCACTCACTCACTCGGCCATCAGATCAGTTCCCAAACTCACTCCCTCACTCACTCACTCAGCCATCAGATCAGTTCCCAAACTCTCTCACTCACTCACTCACTTGGTCATCAGATCAGTTCCCAAACTCACTCACTCACTCACTCGGCCATCAGATCAGTTCCCAAACTCACTCACTCACTCACTTGGTCATCAGATCAGTTCCCAAACTCACTCACTCACTCACTCTGTCATGAGATCAGTTCACAGACTCACTCACTCACTCACTCTGTCATCAGATCAGTTCACAGACTCACTCACTCACTCACTCGGTCATCAGATCAGTTCACAGACTCACTCACTCACTCACTCGGCCATCAGATCAGTTCCCAAACTCACTCACTCACTCACTTGGTCCTCAGATCAGTTTACAGACTCACTCACTCATCAGGTAAGTTTTGCACTCCTTCATGCCCCGTTTAAAACAATAGGCCTTTTTTTTTGTTTCTGTATGTTTCTATTTATTTGCTTAATCAATCTTTGTTCATGTTAATTACTTGCCTAGACAGACACCAACAAGACAGACAAATCCAATTTATTTGTTATTATTTTTATTTAATAAAGGAAAAAGTAGTCACAATTAGAGATAAAAAGAGAAAATAATGTAAAAAAAAAAACCCAATAAAAATCAATTTACAGATGTTTTCAGTTTTTTATTATTCTGAAAATCGTTTGGTCATTTCATTCTGACCAACAAACGTAATTTTTGCATTTTATATATAAAATATATATTTATATATGTATATATCAGCAGATTTCCATTTATTTTATCCTTTACTTTCCTACATTTTGTATTTTTTGTAGCTTTCTACAAGTAATGTTCATATTTTGTGCTTTTAAACTACAGGAACAACAAGGATCTGGTGTGTACAAAGTGTAAAGAAGACCCCGGCAGTGAGAGTGACTCCAGCATGATGCTGACGCTGGACCACGTAAGTACCTTCTTTATTACGCCTCCGTGATGAGCTTGTTTACTGTCAGATTTGCGTGTGTTGAATTGAGAAAGGCAGCACCCACCTGTCAAATAAGTATTAAAAATGACAAACAGATGACCTCATGAAAATGACCTTTATTGTGCATCACTCCTTTCACAATCTAGAGCTTCTTCAGAATTTCCCTTTGACTTTAAGTGGAGGTGGTGTTTTACTTATATGACATCACAGCCATGTCATCCCTCTTCATGTGCGCACACACGCTCACCTACACCCACACGTGCGCACAAAAAAGTGAACGGAGAGGGAAATTCTGTGTGAAGAAGAGGGAGTTTGTAAAGGGCGCCACAAAACTCCGCCCTGGTTTACCGGACATGCGAGAGCTTAAACCTGGTCTTGGGTCTTAACAGATCTTCCAGGAAGAGAGTGTCATTAACCCTTACAGCCGGTTTCCTGGACATGGATTAAGCCTAGTATTGCACTAAATTGTAATGTCAAGGAGAATTTCCCAGCCTTTTTAGTCCAGGCCTAGGCTTAATCTGTCTGAGAAACCAGCCTAGTGACAATTATGCTGAATTACATTTGCTAGACATGCACAGATCCAATTTTTATGGCTGTTTTTCACGGTCAAATTGGCAGATGGTCAGTTTTTATTAGTCTTTTTTAACTTGTGTAAGCTGAACGAACACGCTCACACATTTCTTTGCCTCAGTGCTTTTCATCGTCTTGCTACAGTGACGATGTGACGATGACGAGTAGAGGGCAGTAATCATTATGAAAGGCCTTATTCATGTAAACATTGACTGCTGGTGTGAGGAACTGAACAACGCTGTACAAAATTTAGATTTTCTTTTGAATAGAACAGAAAAACAAGGGGCAGCACAGACAATTAGTTACTGTATGTGAGCTGATTTGCACATTATGTGCCTCACAGCAATCGGATTTCAGTCTGACTAACCAGGTATGTATTTGACTACTGAGTGTATGCATGTCACAATGTCACATTCAAGTCATGCGTGTCACATTACAATGCAGATACAAATCACACGAAATGAAAACGGGTTCTAAGAGGCCTACCAAATGTCGATGGTGGATGTGCTTATTAGTGCTTGGACACCTGTGACCGTGTGCATAAAACATCTTAAATATACCTGAAGTTAAATGCTGAAGAGATACATGTAAAGCTGTAAATGATCCCTTTAGAGCTGTCGAGAACTAAAGTGCCGAAGCTTCATGGATTTCCACTAAACTCACTTAAGGTAATAAGGTGTTTAAGTGAACACTTGAACATTTAAAAGGGCAAAATTCATTCAGGTAATTCATGCACATGACCACTCGAGTCTTTCTAGCTATGATGTTTCATATCTGCAGAGTTAGTGATGCTGTTCAAGCTAGTGGTCAGTGATTCTCTCAGAGTTTCTAACACTGGTTGCTAGAGTTGGCTAGCCTGCTGACCTGTTTTCTATAAGTTCAAATCAAAGATGTTTGTCACCATAGTAACCATTGAAACACAGTCAGAATGTAGCCATGTGTGTAATAAACCAATGTGTATGATAGTATTAATAAATAAGCGATGTCAGATGATGATCAGAAATAATGATCAGACATCAGACAGAAGTGAAAAATTCTGTTTACCATGATATGAGCCACATATATGTGTGTGTGTGTGTGTGTGTGTGTGTATATATATATATATATATATATATATATATATATATATATATATATGTATGTGTGTGTAATATGGTGACAGATATATATTTATATATAATACCTTTTTTGGCATAATTTGAAAATGCCTGTTTCATGATGAATGGACCAAAAGAAATGACCAGAAATGTCTTTGAAAAAATTCTGGTTCCACTGACTTACATTAAAAGTAAAGTATGTTTTTTCCTTCTCCTGTAAAGCTATCATTTTGGACAACATATATATATATATATATATATATATATATATATGTGTGTGTGTGTGTGTGTGTGTGTGTGTGTGTGTGTTTATTACATATGGTTGTTTGTAAAGAGCTTCTTCTGACACAAATAAATATTTCTCTGCAGTGCTAGTACATGGTAGGTACATGTAGTGCCTATGTATCCAACATGGGCATCGGCTCACAGTTACCATATCAGTGCATCCCTAATATATATATTTATACTTTACATTTTGTTTATTGCCGTTGATTTTCCCTGACTGCTTCTCATTTACTGTGTAACACATTAATTCATATGTACGTGATCTCCACATGCATAAAATATATCAACACATTTTTATTCATATTAGTTTTTGTGTTGATGTGATGTATTTCATTCACGTGGAAGCTGACTCAAGCAAAGTCCATGCATGACTTATTTCAGTGAACTGTATGAACCATGAAGGTTATGACTCACATTCCAGTTAAAGGAAGGTGAGTGTAGAAGAGCCAGCAGGTGAAGAAGCTGTTGAGTTCTTAGACCCCAAAACACTAGCCTGACCTTTGGTCTAGCACCATAGATGAAAGCAGATTTGATCACACCAATAATGTCATGACTCACAGTCTTTGACAGGAAAGTGTTCATAATTTCCCCTCTTTTTCACTGCAGTTCTTCAACGACATGGCCATCAATAAAGAGATTCAGGAGCTGAGGGTGCACTGTGTGAACCAAGGCTGTCCCTGGAGGAGCACCCTCAAGGACTTTGAGGTACTTTCCTTCCATCACAAGTGGAAACCACAGAGTCACGCCTAAACCGCTTTCCAGCACAAAAACAAGGGACATTTTGAAAAGCGTTAATGACTGATCACGATTAAAGGCAGAGTCGAAGGTGTTTAAGGCCATGTTGACTATAATAATTTAGCATTCCTAGCCTATAGTATTACTGTGATCACTACCTGTTTTGCTGCCCAGTTTTTGTGCTTATTGCTTTTATAAAACAACAGCAAAATACAATATGATAAAATACACCAATATTTAATTCATTATTTAATTTATTAACAATAATCACACGCAGAGGTGGGCGGTAACTCAAGGTGATTCACTCAATTCCATGTAGTTAAAGGACCTATATCCTACATATTTGGGTCATTCTCCATTTGGAGTGGGAAACCATGTCACAAAGGTTTCAGGGCATAAAAAGATGCTTAAAATATCAGGCACAGCTCCAGAAGTCGGTATGTACATTTACACAGTTGACGTACAATTAAATAATACTTTTCCCTTATGATTCTCTTTTTCATTATGTTTCATAGTTGCTCTGTATGTAAAACAGCTCATCAGTTGAAAAAACATTTTTAATATAAAACAATATTTTTAAGAGGTTTAACTTTTATTCTAAACAGATTCATGTTTACTTTTTATATCATTATACATTTAAAAAAAATGTATTGTATTTTAAAAATTCATTTGTCACAGAGATTTTGGTCACTGGTGTTATCAGGACTCTTATATTACATTTTACCATAGTATTTTCAGCTCTGTTAAACTGCTTCTTTGGGTCGAGGCTCACCAGAGAGGAAGAACCTCAAGGCCTGAGAAGGCGAGTCCAGAATTGCTCACTTTATTTCATTCATTTATCAATAATTTTGTTTATCAGGCAGCACATAACTTCTATGTGCCACTGGTGTTGTGTGCTTTAATGGCTGGGTAATTAAAAATGAAAATTTTGTCAGAATAATGGCAAATATATCACTTTTATTACTGATTTTAAATAGTTGCGCAAGGTCACCTGACGACCAATGAGTCAGCCAGTTTACACAATCCTCACTTTTAACCAGAATGTCACTGGAGTCACAGTCACCGGTGTTACACCATATTCAGATAATACCAATGACGTGTAAAACATGTTTGGAATTAAGCTCTCCTTTTTGCATATATGATAATAGGAGATGTTAATGGACATATTAAGATTATTTAGTTTTAGGATGAAAGAAATAGATTTTTTTTTAAATGTATCCACCTGAATTCCCACTCCAAATGGCAAATGACCCATTTCTTTTAATTTTATTTTTCTGATGTCCACTTCTGACATTTCTATCAGTTTTTGTCCTAAAAACAGGCATAATTAAGTTTTACATGACTGCTTTACAAACTCTCTTTATATCTTACAATTAAACAGCCTTTCTTTGTTACTGTGCCTTTAAGACCGATATCTGTAAATGAGCTCTGTTTTGATTGCTGTCCTGATTTGTGCCAGGCTGAAACACTCCTTACAGCTTCAGTGTGAATGAGCAGAGCTGTAGGCTGAATAGATGGATGTGGGTAAATTTGTTGGTTTTTGTGACGTCACTGAAACAGTGATTTTCAAGTAGGCTGTTTTTGCAGCTTAGTGTCCTTATATGAACAGTATGACTGGGGAGTGAACAATGTATTTAGATGCTTTAGCAGTGTTTATATATTAAATCAAACTATTGTACTTCAAAAAAAGACAAAAAATTCTGTTTAGCATGATATGGGCCCTTTAAGAAAAACTGTGAAAACACGTTTTTGAGTATTTTTAATTCATAATACTTTTACATCTACTCACAGATGCTTTTAGGGACAGAATTTTCTTTCTGCTCAGTTACATTTCAGTCATTATCATTTAGTTCTTATTTCTGCTATTGATGACAACATTTGCGCTATACAGCTCTGACTGTTGAACAGTATAATTTTATTTTAGATCTAAATCATCTCAAAATAGAAGAACAAGAGTAGAAATAACAGGCTTCAGTTCCTGACTGATAAGTTCCTGTGCTGTAAATTACTCAGTAACTAGTTTTTCCTGGTACGTTTGTCTATGTAAGTTGTTTTCGGCAATGATACTTTCACTTTTACTTGAGTTGTTTTGTAGTGTGTTGTGGGGACTGAAGTGTGAGTTAGCAGTGACTAAGTTGCGAGGAGGCAAAATATAACAAAAAACATAAGCAGTTCGGAAGACTTAAAGGGGCATTCCACTGATTTTTCAAAATTCCGACATAATTCTGTTGTTGACAAAGTCATCCAGACTGTTTTAGTGTGAATCAATGCATTGTAGAGAAACTCACCGACGGATCTTCTTTACAGGTGATAGGAATCAGGGGTCGCAGTATCTACCACACTAATGTAGCCATTTTATTTATTATCCAAAACCACCAGTGAACCTTCACTTATCTTCTGTGCTTTTATAAGTAATGTTGATGATGATAAAATAGTGATAAATCTAAATGCAAACATCTTTCTGCCACGAACGGATTAAAAAAATCTTCTAAAAACCTTCTGTGAGGAAATCTTTAGAGACGTTAAAATCTTCAGACGTCTGGTTCCAATCACCACCACTGTGAGCAATTCTGACTCATTTCCCTAGAATGGAGCATCTCTCACTAAACCACTCTGAATGACTTTGTTTACATCCTTATGATTGAATCATGAAGAAATCTTGAGAAATCGGTAGAATGTGTCTTTAAGACTAACCTGACTTTTTGAGCTAGCTCTAACTAGAGAATAGTTTTTGTAATTTTAATTTATTTTAAAGTACAGCGTAGACTCTGTGGACTCTTTGTAAGATGTTGCAATGTTATTAAGGTTATTAATATCAAAGTGTTATTTGTCCCACATCACCTTTACACTATGTTGCACAATACATATTATAATGGAAACTCGTTTTTTAAAGAAACAAGAAAATCTAAAAATATGTTGTGATTAATGCTATGATATATATTTGCAGTACACTCCCAGAACAAACAATCACTAGGGCAGTACCCCTCTTGTCACTGGGGTGGTACCCTCAAGGGCACATCTCAGTACCTTCATTCAGGGAACATAACTGTACCATAATCCACTGAAATTATATTTTCTAAGTTGTATTGACTCCACACACCCTGTCTCGTCTACAGGATTTTTATTTCATTGCTCTATTTTAAAACATTAGATTATGAAAAGACATAAATATGTACTTTTCCCCTATTCCACCTATTTAAGGTGCACAGTTGGGCTTTAAAACCACTGTTGTACCTTTGAGGGAACATTTACATTGTTTGTCCTTTGATGAATGAAAAATGTACCTGCACAAAACCTTTATTTCTAACAGGGTATGGACTGGAAATTATTTTAAAAAGGAATGTAGTGTACAAAAGTGAAAACAGTGGTCAAATCAGCTGCAAATCAGGCATAGGACCCAGTTTGGATAGTGACACCGGTTGAAGCTTTTGAACAAACAGTACCACTGTGAATAGAAAAGGCATGTTTTTCATCACATTGCTAACAAACAATAGACAATAGAGACTCTGGTGGTTGTGGTTAGGACTGAGTACCTTTTAATACCAGTCGATACCAGTATCAACAGCAATACCTTGACTTTGATACTGAGTCTCAAATGAGACTTTATTTGATGCATTCTTTTATGTACAAAACGAAAGTGGGTGTTGCTTAAACCAGAAATGAGTCACAGGAAGTGGGTACTTTTACTGACCACAATGGCTCACAAGCTTAATCTCGAACTGCTACCTGCTCTCTACCTAGTGTACAATGTGTAATTATGAACATTTGGCTTCTGCACCCAAATGGGGCCGATATGTCCAGTGGGGTATTGTGTACACATGGCTGCATCCCAAATCGCTCCTTGTTAGACATATTATGTGCTGTTTGGGTAGGCCCAGAGTTTCACATTATCTGATTACTCAAGTGCATGTAAACGTGTTGATTGGATTACTGACAAAATCTGATTTTCTGCAGTTATCGGATTATTACGTGCATGTGAACGCGCTCACTGACGCTGATAAATCTGACTACTGAGCTGTTGAGCTCTGGTTAAGTGCGTCTGCTAAATGCTGTAAATGAAAAAGGTTGAAATTTGTTTTATTTTAATATACTAAGCGATATTGAAATAATTTTGTCAGTAAAATATAAAATTTTGATACACATTGTATTGATACACCCTGAACACACTGTATACTGGCACTGTAAACTGGCTGTTAATGACACAAGCACATCTGCTGAGTTAATGTTGGACTGTTGCTGTGATCATGGAGTTCTCTGACATGACCACATGTTGATGAATTGGTGACGGAGTTTCCCCTAAACTGTTGGTCCTAAAAAGTACCTTACCTGGACAGGATGTCTGCTCTCTCTGTGATGTTTCTGATGTGATGTAATATGTAATGGGCCATTTGGGGCTGTAGAAACACACCAGCCCTTTTGCTATGCATTTTTAATTGTCTGGTGCCCCAAATTACATCTGCAGTAGACTGCCGGACTGAGATTTGGATATATGAGCTGGATTGTGTGGTCGGTATTTATACAATGTGGCCACTAAGGCTATTCCAAAGTAGGGCAATTGCTATATCAACCTCAGTCAAACTGCCGAATAAATATTACTGGTTATTTTGGAAAAGTTCACCATTTCTCTTACAGCTCTACTGTGGTTGCTATGCTTGCTACTAAACTCTTTCTCAGTGTGGTTTTCAACAGATCATATGACTCCCAGAACAGAAACGCTAATGATCCTTCAAATTAAAATTGCTCTCAGTGAATAAAAAAAACAGTGTCATTTGCTTGTTTACTCACTATTGCCGTCTCATCGAAGTTGAGGCTTTAATGTAGGCTAATCGTTTATTATAGTACATTATAAAGTGCCATGGATCTAGAATTGCATAGGTGGCAATATAAGGGGTCCAATAAATGTGTTAAACCCCCTGCATTACAGTCCCCAGTGTGGACTAGTGTTGTGGACTGGCTCTTCCAATTTCTTTCACAGCTCTCAGTGTTTGTAGGTGTGTATTTTTTGAGAGTTCTTAGTTCCTGACCCCGGTGATGTCTGACTAATAAAGTTATTTTGGTTTCTTTCACTGCTGCCTGAGGGAGCTGAGCAAAAGGATAAGAGAAAGCATATGCATTCAGTTTTAGGAGACAACATAGTATAAATCTCATTCCAAAAGAATTGGGACAATATGTGAAATGCTAATAAAAACACAAAGCAGTGCTTTGTAAATTTTGTTTGACGTATATTAAATTGATAACAGCACAAAAACACAGTATTCGATTCTTGAGCTTATGAACTTACATGAGCTGACTTTTTTGTCCTTTTTTTTAACTCACACTTTGTAGTTCTACAGTTACAGACTGTAGTCCATCTGTTTGTCTGCATACTTTGTTAGCCCCCTTTTACCCTGTTCTTCAGTGGTCAGGACCTCCATGGACCCTCACAGAGCAGCTACTATTTGGGTGGTGGATCATTCTCAGCACTGCAGTAACACTGACGTGGTGGTGTGTTAGTGTGTATTGTGCTGGTACGAGTGGATCAGACACAGCAGTGCTGCTGGAGTTTTTAAACACTGTGTCCACTCACTGTCCACTCCTACCTTGTCAGTCCACCTTGTAGATGTAAAGTCAGAGATGATAGCTCATCTGCTGCTGCACAGTTTGTGTTAGTCATCCTCTAGTCCTTCATCAGTGGTCACAGGACGCCGCCCACAGGACGCTGTTGGCTGGATATTGTTGGTTGGTGGACTATTCTCAGTCCAGCAGTGACACTGAGGTGTTTAAAAACTCCAGCAGCACTGCTGTGTCTGATCCACTCAGACCAGCGCAACACACACTAACACACCACCACGACATCAGTGTTACTGCAGTGCTGAGAATGATCCACCACCCAAATAGTATCTGCTCTGTGAGGGTCCGTGGGGGTCCTGTCCACTGAAGAACAGAGTAAAAGGGGGCTAACAAAGTAATTGTAGAACTACAAAGTGCACCTATGTAGTGAGTGGAGCTGATAAAATGGACAATGAGCGTAGAAACAAGGAGGGAGTCATAATGTTCTGCCTGATCGGTGTACATAGTACTGAAACACTGATTATTAGGCAAGTGTTAAAGAAATGTAAGACTGCAGTGTCCAAACACCTGGGCACCTTTTGTTTGAACCCACCCATTTTCACATGAGCAAAATTATTGGAACACGTGGCTGACAGGTGTTTCTTGCTGCCCAGATGTGCCCTGTTAAGACTGATTGTTTAAACAGTTAATAAGTTCTGAATGTCTAATCTTGGTTTGAGCCCTGGGCTTCTGACCGCATTTGTTGTTAAAAATGATAAACCAACATGAAGGCTGGAGAGAGAGCTGTCTACAGGAGAAAAGCAAGCCATTTTGAGGCTGAGAAAAGAGGGAAAATCGATCAGAACTATTGCACAAGTATTGGGCATAGCCAATACAACAATTTCAGGAATGGTCTGAAAAAGAAAGAAACCACTGGTGTACTAACAACCAGACATCGAACAGGTCGGCCAAGAGCAATTGATGACAGAAATACTATGAGAGCTGTGAATAAAAACCCAATAACAACAGTCAGTGACATCAACAACAGCCTTTACAGGGCAGGAGTGAAGGATCAAAGTCCACTGTTCGAAGAAGACTTCAAGAGCAGAAATATAAAGACCATACCGCAAGATGCAAACCACTCATCAGCGGTGAGATCGAAGGCCAGATTGGATTTCACAAAGAAATTTTCACAAAGAGATGAGCCACAAAAGCTTTGGAGGGTTTTATGGACTGATGAGACCAAGATTAACCTGTACCAAAGTGATGAAAAGGCCAAAGTGTGGAGGAATAAATCCAGGACATACAGACTCATTGGTCAAGCATGGTGGAGGTAGTGCAAAAAAATTTTATGAACTTTTTTTAATAAAAAGGCAACAATCTCAACAGGAGAAATGTTAGATTTATTGACAATATTTAAGATAATTGTACTTGACGATACCATTTTTTGCAGTGTGTCATGGCTTAGGCTTGCATGGCTGTAATGGGCTCACTTGTCATTAATGATGATGTAACTCATGATGGTTGCAGCAGAATGAATTCAGAAGTCTACAGAACCACTCTGTCTGCCAGTTTACAGAGAAATGCATCCAATCTAATCAGGAGGAAATTGCAAGACAGTGACCCAAAACACTCTGCCAACACAACAAAGGACTTTAGACTGGCCAAGTCAATCACCAGACTTCAATCCAACTGAGCCTGCATTTCACCTCCTGAGGAGGAGCTTGGAAAGAGAAACCCTACAAAAAGCAACAATTGAAAGAAGCTGCTGGAAAAGCCTGGAAAAGCATTGCAAAATAATGCAACAGTTTGGTGACGTCAGTGGGTGATCCAAAGCATACAAACTCATTGGTCAAGCATGGTGGAGGTAGTGTCTTGGCCTGATGCAGTTATTGCAAGCATGGAATATGCAACCACATATTAAGTGTTATGTTATTTGGTGGTCTTCCACCAAATGTGCACTTGTTTAACACATTTAAATGTAAATATCAGGTAATAAAAGCTGAAATTCTGATTTGTCGTCTTATGGTCATCTTTTGATCTCAAGCCCAAATGTTTTCAGTGTGTGGAACAAAACAAAAGAAGTGGCCTTGCCGTTTTAACACTGCATGTAAACATGTAAAAACTGAAATGTACTGATGGAACTTTTAAAACTGTCCTAGGACCACCAGAGTCAGTGTGAATATGCCCTGATCCCCTGCAATGTTGGCTGTGGCCTGATGGTGCTGAGGAGGACTCTGGCCATGCACCTGGACAAAGGCTGTCCCAACAACAAGAGCATGTGCCAAACGTGCTCCTGTGCACTGACCCCTGCAGAACTGCAGGTAAGAGGGCAATACAAAGCAATTACATAATAAACCATGTAGTGTAGTTGGAGTTGTTGGATTATATGTGTTCACAACAGGCCAAAAATAAAATGTTTTACAATTAAGTCTGTTTGCCAGCAACCAACACAACATGACATGTTTACTGATGTTTAGTTTAAATAAAGAGGTTTTTCCAAAATACTATCTTTTTGCTTCAGAAACTGCAAGTAAAAAGGTATTAATACTGAGTTTGCTGCAGAAACAGCCTCTACTCTTCTGACAAGGCTTTACACTAGATGTTGGAACATTGCTGTGAGGATTTGATCGCGATTGGCCTCGAGAGCATTAGTTAGGTCAGGTACTGATTTTGGATCATTAGTTCTGAATCACAACTGATCCAGTCGAAAGGTATTGAATGGAGCTCCATTACTACAGAGAACACAGTTCTACTGCTCCACAGCCCAGTGCTAGGGGGCTTTATACCCCTTTACCTGATGTTTGGCATTGGGCATGGTGACCTTTGGCTCATGAGTGGCTGGTCCAGAGTGTCCAATGCTATTGGCAGTGCTTTTAATGGAGATTATACAAGCTATGTGCATGCAGTTGACACCTGTGCCACCAATGGGTGCACCTTAACCCCTTAAAATCCCAGGCTAATTAAATTACATACAAGGCTTATTATTTAGTAACTACAGGGACTTCAATACAAACTGGCTGAGCTATTCTTAGGTTATAGAAGTATGTAAGGAAATAAAGTTCAAGATTTCTCCTGCATGACCCCAGCCATCACACAGATCTGTTAAATTCCATCTCCAGCACTCTTTTTCCCTTTATTTAACATAATGAAGGATTGATTTAGCTAAACCAGGTATTGGATGTTAGTGGTATTTACAAATAATACGGGGCTGCTGTGAGGAGAGGTTTGAAAAAGGGTTAAATACACTGACATACGTAAAATCACTGCACGTTGTATTAATGTTATTTGCATTTATTGTAATATATTTTTTTTCTCTGAGCAAATAAACACTTACTGCCCAATGAAATAATAGCTTTTAAAATATACAGTTGTACAGATCCTCTACATAGAGCACAACTCTGTACACGTTAATCCCCAATTACTGTTTATTTGCTGAATTGAACATGTTGGAAAAAATCATAAACTGTGGCAAAATTTCACATTTTACATTTTATTTCCAATATGTTAAATATGTTACACTAACGTTCGCTGAGAAATGCAGTATTTAAGTTCCTTGTTCCCTGTGTTCACTTGCACTTGCTTTTGCTTGTAAAATCAAAAGGTTTTGCATACGACTGTATATATATATATATATATATATATATATATATATACACACCGTATAGGCGGTGGGGGATGGCAGGGAGGTCCTTGACGCCATGGGCCCCAGTGGCGGAAACATATTTATATATAAATATGTATATAGCTGTATATAACATATATGCTAATGCTCCTTGGGACGAAATATGTATCATGAAATGATGAACTGATATGTTCTGCAGTGTTTTGGACACACAGCTATTCTCAGGCTTCATAGCGCTCTAGGTATTGGGTCACTCTTTCCCCACTAGCCTGAGAGAGTTTGGGGGTCAGTTTGCCCTTGGTGAAACCCCCTGTGGTTTTGTTTAAGCCATAGAGTCCCCAGTGTGCAGTCCAGACCCCTATTCCATCTCCCACCATGCCCACTGCACCGGCGCTCAGGGACACGGATTAGAGCGGCGAGGAAGAGAGAGAGAAAACTGTTTAAAACTGTTTAAAACCTCAGGACTTCAGCACTGTGGTCTAATCCACACATAAAGGGGCTTCTAGTCTTCTAGAGTGACTAAAATCTCTGAAAGCATCTTCAAATTGCTGTGGGGTTATCGCTGCAAAACGATCTCATACACTTTATATTAAGATACACACTGATAAAAATTAGAGCAGATTAGACTCAGAGATAGATGAGACCTTAAATAACGTTCAGTGTGTCTCTGCTGCTGTACTGCTAATATAATGTTAAAAGGTGAAACATTTTATTTATATTTTTGTGTATTTTTATCTGTAAATAAGTCCTTTTTCCATACAGAAGCATTCATGTTGCAACGGAAATGACAAGAAGCCTGCAAAAGCAGAGAAACGACAAAAGGTAAAATAAAAAATAAATATATATACTTTTAAAAATAGTGTTACTAAACCTGGCCGGACAAGATAAAGCAGTTGTTTTTGTTTTCTACTGAAAGGGGATAATGTTTTTAATGGGTTTCAGATATAACATTTCTATTTGTGTGTATGTGTGTTTCTCTGTGCATGTGTGTGTTCAGGGTTGCGAGTGCAGCACATTTATCTTTTTCTTTTCCTTTTTTTACAGGATAATAAGCAGGCGAGCTCTAAGCGGAAAGAGCCATGCGTCTTCTTTGAGGTCGGATGCACATTTAAGGTAACTCTTTAATACAGTAGTGTTAAGTATCATGACCAAGACATTAGTGCTGATTAATACTGATTTGAGCAACTTGAGAAATTAGTTTTATTTATATGGCGGAGAAAAGGCTTTCATATTTCATATTCAGTTATTATGGTAACACTTTATTTGCAAAGACCACTTTAGATGCTTTGTAGATACTTAATGTACTTTCAAGTTACATTTAACTAAATATCTCCTAAATTGACTGTAGTTTTCTTTAACTCTAAACCTGCTCTAATCCTAACCCTAACTCAAACCAAAACCTAAACCCAACCCTCACCCTGGTTCTCAACCTAATCCTGGTCCAAATCCTAACCCTAACCACACCACTGTTTAGAATCAACTGAGGTTCAGCAGATAGTTTGTTAACAATTTGAACATCTGTAGATAATCTATAGGAGACTATAGTGGACTATCCAAATAAACTGAGACCGTTATTTATAATTGTAACAATTAATTTAATCACCTGGCACATTTATGAAATATGCTTTGCAGGAAGATTAAAATAGATCAAATATAAACAAATAAAATACAAAAATATTTCCTATAAAAAGATAATGGCATTTGATAAGGAAAAAATGAAGTTACCTATTATGCAGACTCATCTGGAACAAATAGAATACAAGGAAAAAATATATAATCCAAAAAGCAATAATAAAGCAGTAAACCATGCATGAAAATATGATGGCAAAATAAAATATAACAAAAATATTGTGTTTAATAAATTAAATATTACTAATTTCCCCAAAACAATTCTTTCCCCAAACACTGCAGTTCTTTAACAGTAGTTTGTGGTTGCCAAGCAACATAATAACTTGACGTTTTAATATTCAATATTAGAATTCAGTCACGGGTGTATTTTGAGTATTATACAGGGTGATTCAAAAAGATTCATCTGATTTCAAAATGATTTTTTTCACTTGTAAATCATTACAGAACAATGCAGTGAACTGTAAATGGTTTAAGTGAGCATGAAGTTTATTATGTAATTCACGTTGCACAGTTATGACAGATTCACTCTTATTGAAGTGGAGAACGCAAAGCGCTTTCTGCTCAGGGGTCTCCGTCTCCTCACAGACTGAAGGGAGCCATCTTCCAGTGACAGTCAGAAACTCTATGACCCCCTCTTTCAGTTGGTATGTGATTGGTTCCTAGGGGCCTCACGGTTGTAAAAATATGGTGCTTTGAAATCAGATAAATCTTTTTGAATCACCCTGTAGTTTCAGGTTGGCCGAGCCACATTTAAAGCTGTTGTGAAATACATGATATATGCATATATGACTGCACACATCAGCAGAATTCTATATTAATGTAACAATATATTAAAAACTCCTCAATATAACCTATATACATTAGAATGAAATGTCGTTCTTCAGGCCCAATGGTGCAACACACAACAGCAACACATTATCCAGGACTACACAGAGCCCAGATACACAGCAGATACAGTGAATAGACCAGACAATAAATATACAGAACAATAAATACACACAACAATACTATACGTGACAACAGAACATACAAATGGACATCATATGTGTGTATATACACACGTACACATATTCGCATAGATTGGTGTAACGCAGCATGTGAGTGATGAAGGAGCTAATACAAACATTATCAACTGTAACCTGTACAGAAAGATTGTGGTCTTATAGCAGCATTCAAATAGTTAAATAATTTAAAGTGCAGGCAAGCGGACCATAAAGTGCAGACCATTATGTTGCCTGGCAACCACAGCTTGCTGTTGATTAGGGCTGGGAACACTTATAAATGTATCAATAATCATTGATGACAGCTATGAAATCAATAAGTAGACCGTATTGTGTTTTTTCTCCCTTTCATCATGCATGCATTATAGTTCTGCTCTGTTCTCTGAATATCCTGTCCAGTCGCAGCGGTGAGCTGCTTTGTGAGCTGTGGTGTGAGTGAGTGTGACACTGACGTGCTGCTATGCAGAGAAAATGGCACAAGAACAGTGTTCTTAGTCCATAATTACAGTTTAATGTTTTTTTTGTCTTGTCACATCAAGACAGTTTCACAGATAAAAAAGCCTAATGCGACTCTTAACACACTGACACCTTCAAATTAATGGATTTTTTTAATTACCCTTACAGAAAAGTCACATGAATTTCAAATGTGAGTAAAAGGCATGTGGTTTTTCGCACATTTCACATGTTAGAAATGTGTTAAAAATGTGTGATTATGTGAAAAAAATAAGTGATCACATTTAGAATTGTGTTCACATTGCAAAAAGCATGTGATCACATGTGGAAACTTGTTTGTTTGTGAAAAAAAGTGTGATTACTTTTAGTAATTAAACATTTGCGTTTGAAATATATGTGACTCTTCTCTAAGGGTTAAACAGTGCAGGAAGATGACGAAGAAACAAATGGAGACATTAAACAGTAAAGTTATAAATTTTCTTTTAACCAGTGAGGCTCGAAGACGTAGACGCTTGGTAACAGCATATTCTGCTAAAGGGTTTAGCGCAGGATCTACAGCAGAGCTGTGAACAGAATAAACGAACCAACTACAGGAGCAACCATGAGCTCTAATGTGAAAGACAGCATCAATATCAATGCTTATGTCAGAGAACTTGTAGAGAGGAGAATTAGAGAGGAGGGCGCTCCCGAGCGAGTCCAAAATGAATGGGTTAAGATGGAGCATTTGAGCAAAATCCTAGTTTGTAAATGCTTAAGCATTTTTAATGTAAAAGAATACATTCATTTCCTGAACACAGAACAGCATAAAACATTTTAACACCGCTGTTATATTTTTAAACGCTTTTAAACTCGAGTTATAGAAATTTAAAACGGCGCTTGATGTACGTTCCTGGCGTCTGTGAGCACGAACAGCCAATGAGCTGCTCTGCTCGCCAACCAATCAGTACTCAGTAGCAGTAATGCCAGTGTTTTACTGCCCGAAACCTGCTGTAGAAAAAAGAAACATACAGGTAAGTTTTTTTTGCTTTTCTAGTGAAATACAAACTTCTATTTTCTAAATTTAAGGAAACGTTCTGGACAAGTAATTAGAAACTAGTATAACTTTTTTTTTTTAGCCGTTGAGCTCCGTTCACGCCCATTCATTGAGGACTCGCTCACGGGTGAATGAGTTTTTTGTTGTGGTTATTATTACTCAAAAATTAAATGACTTATTAAACATTTATGGGTACCACTATACAGTAAGACTACCATTATAAATGGTTTTTGAATGGTTCGAAATGAGTTTATTAATGGTTATATCTGATGAATATGAATATCTGATGAAGCTGGCAGGTTTAATGCTGACTAATGGAGAAGACAAAGTAAGATAAGTAACCAGCAAGATCAGAGGTTTAACTGTAGATGAATGTGGGCTCACTATTTGGCAAGCAGCAGGTCATTGTTGCATTTTATTTATGTCTTAGAACTGCTTATTAATGATGTTAATAACCTAATCATTAATAACCATTAATAAATTAATGTTGAACTATTCAGAAACACTTTAAGAGTGTAGTCTTTTTGTAAAGTGGACCATTTGTGCATTCCATTATTTTACAGTGACTACAAATGTGACTCAGCCAGTGAGATTTCAGAGCCAGAGCTAACCGTTGTCTAATGTTGATTTGCACAGTAACACTGACCATCACTGTTCTTCATGGTCTCCCAGGGAAACACAGAAAAGGTGCATGAACATGAGAGCTGCAACACCGCTGGTCATCTGCAGCTCCTCTTGGAGGCCATCAGGGGCCTACAGTCGTCCGTGCCCTCTCCGCCTGAGAGGAGTGTGCAGTACCCGGCCCTGGACCTGCTCCTTCAGGGCCAGACCGTGGCCCCCCTCAGCCCTCAGACTAACGGAGATCTGGAGACAGACGGCGGGGACGCGGGGGCCAGTGACAAGGCCTTGAGCCTGCATGATGACCAGGCTGAGCTGGAGGTGGGCCAGCAGCTGCATGCCCTGCAGCAGAGACTGCAGATCATGGAGAACATCATTTCAGCACTTAACCGAGAGGTGGAGAAGACCCAGCTGACCGTGGTGGCACTGGAAAGAGACAATCACAACACCATGCAGGTCGTGCAGCACTTAGAGACCGTGGTAGGTCCACTTCAAGCTCATATTTTTACAGCAAAGTAACAGTTGAGCTAAAATTAATGTTGATTATTTTTGCATTGTTTTTTGGTAGAAATTTATTTTTGTTTTTCCACCTCTCTTTATATCTTAGAGGTAAACAGGCCTTTTGTTGCTGTTCCTTTGAGACTCATATGTGTAAGCAATTTGTTTTAATTGGCTGCCCTTTATTGGGTCTCAGTCAAAAAGCATTCCAGGCTGAACAACATTCCAGGCTTGTACAGAAATCCTCAGAAAAGTTGGAATAGTTGGAAAACTATAAATATCAGCTGTTCCTTTCAGATGTGTGGCTCCTTTGAAGCTGAGATATGAGATATTTGCTTCCTGACAGTGAGAAAAAAAACCCAACGTTTAATTCTTTTCTTCACATCACCCTGTCCAATGTCTATTACAGACTGCTGGCACAACATCCCTTATCACTTCAGCGTGAATGGGAGGGGCTTAATCATAGGCATAATTTATGAATGACCTCATCACTTTTTGAAATGCCTGATTTTGTTCCTACCAGTAGAGGTTTTTCTATCCACCTCTTATTTGCAAATTTAGAAAATGTGCTTAAAAAAAGCCTAGAAGGAAAAAACTGCAATTCGGGAAAACAAAGCCTAAAAATCTGCAAATAAGAAAATTTAGGCTTGGATGAAGTGATTGGTTTATTGTTGACTGATAGATAAAGGAGAAATGCATGATGGAAAAGACAGTGATCAAAGCAGATTTTTAGAAAAAGTGTTGACAATGCAGGAACGAGTCCTAGCAGAACTGATTCCTGCATTGGCACCCGCGGGTGTTTGGTGGGTGACGGTGAAGTGGGACAGCAACTCGGCAACATGTTCATCTAAAAACGTCACTCCCTCACCAGCAATGTGATGTGTGACGCACTGGTGACTGTGCAGTGCACTGCCTAAAAATATGACAAAAACCCTTTGAACATGGTTCACTGAGCTACATAATGAGAAAATCCAGCTGTTAACATAGAGGAAGAAGTTATAAATTTCAATTTAATAGCAGTATACAGCTGAAATTAAAGCTGTTAACACATCCCCTACAGAGAACACACTTCTACACATTTTAATACACAATTACTGTTTATTTGCAGAATTTTACATACTGGGGGAAAATAAAGCATAAATTATGGCCTGTGCAAAAGTCACGGCACATTTTATCATTTATGTTTTATTAATTTGTTAAACTCAGAAAATAAATAGAAATTGTGCTCTACAATTTGCAGAATTGCCATATTTGAGTGTGTTCTCTGTAGAGGACGTGTTCACTTATTTTCACCTACAAAATCAACAAAAAGCATGATTTGATCAAGGGTGTTCAAACCTCTGCATATGTTCTGATGGTAAGTGTGTGTTTGTGAGTGTGTGGGCGTGCGGGCGTGCAAGCACATGCATATTCATTTTTTTCTGGCCTGGTCCTCGTCCATGTTTCCACACTTTTTAAAAAAGATTAAGCCCATGTGCTAAACTGCTTTAGGCAGAATGAACAGTCATATTTAAATATGTTCATGGTTATGACATCACAAGCATAATGAACTTGTATATTGACTGCATATATGGACTGTATGGACTGAGTAATGAGTGGAACTTTAAAAACTACTTACATCAAACATTCAGAAAAAAACAAGGAACACTTGGCTTTCCGCGATATGGACTTTCTAATTGGTGCAACTTGTTTGATGAGTAGTGAATGCAGTGTGTTTACTTTGTGCACTTAAAGTTTTTTTTTTTACCTCAATCACAGCCTAATGTGATAAGAGACTCCTAAAGAATGCCATAAAACAGTGAGTGCCTTGTTATTTGATGAAAGTCCATTATAACTGTTACTTAAGTGCTTCACATTTACGATCAGCACAGCGTTCTTCATGAAGTATTAAGAGATTTTATTCTCCTCATACCGGTTGCAAACAGTGTGCTGTTTTCCGATGCAGTCATATGAAGTTGTTGTTCGATACGCAGGCTGAATGATAACCAGCTTCTTTGCAGTGGGTAGACTCTGCAGTGTGTAACCCATCTCTCCTCTGCTGCAGTGCCAGTAAAGCATTTCTCTGTAAACATCCTTGATATTTATATGAAATATCTTCAAATATCCTGTCAGTCTTGTCGGATGGATTTTGGCTCTGCAATGTAGCTGCATTCGTAATGTCATACAGGGCCAGAAAGGAGAGCTATGTCTGCTGCTTGGTTTGTCTCAGAGTTATTTCTTATTACTCAGAAAGGAAAACCCATTGACATAAAGCACACTTATAATAGAGGTCAATGGGTAAGTTGCTTCAGTGACAGCCCATTGACTTCTAAACCACCGTACCATTCCCTACCCACTTCATACAGTCCGTATAAGGAGATTAAGCTGCAAAACAGCCCATATTGAATTCATTGTTTTGTGATGTCACAAAAATCAGCACACTCACATATACTTCACACGTACCCTCCTTGTCAGCCTGCAGCTTTTAGCTCTTTCCATTTACATACAAGGTATAATGAATATTTTAGCCTGGACTTCTTTTTAAATGAGGTACAATACAGATCAGCCAAATGGAGAAGAGGTCATTTACATATATCAGTTTTAAAGGCACAGTAACTAAATCTTCTAAATTCATTAGTTTTTTTCTTCCAGTTGACGAACAGCTTCTTCATGCCATCATGTTTATAGATCCTTAGTGGATTTTAGTGTGGAAGCTCAGTAAATGAGATCCACGTGCTTCTGAATTCAGGATATAGCAAATTAGAAAGTTCACGTGTTGGAGATCATCTTACTTACCATAGAGGAATATGTCACAGATCATTTGTATGTTTATCCATGAATCAGGTTTCCTCAGGTCAAACTAGGTGGTTCATTTCTTCATGCTGTCTCTTATAGAATAAACTGGCATATTCTTTATTTGTGACTCCAATCAATACGATAGCAGGAGAGTGTGAGTTTATATCTCCTCCTGGGGCTCAAAGCAGTCAGGTGATAAAGACACCTCATTATCACTTCGTTCAGCAGCTTGTTATTCCTCTCAGGAAGAGTTGTTTTGCATAATTGTGTCTGTTATTCATTTAAGGATTTGAGATTTCGTGATAAGAAAGAAAGTGGATTAATTTAAGGTTATATAAGGTCATAGATAGATAGATAGATAGATAGACAGATAGATGGAGGAGTGGGTGGGTATATATATCTATATATATCTATATATCTCTATCTATGTATCTATCTATATCTATATATATCTATATGTCTATATCTATATATATCTATATGTCTATATATATATATATATATATATATATATATATACACATATATATACACACAGGCAGGCAGGCAGATAGAGGAGTGGGTGGATAAATACACGCATATATATATATATATATATATATATATATATATATATATATATATAGATATATATAGATATATATAGATATAGATATATATATATATGTGTATATATATATATAGAGAGAGAGAGAGAGAGGAGTGGCTGGACAGACCATCAGACGTTCAGAGAGAAAAAAGACAGATGGACAGACAAACAGACAGATAGATACATAGATACATAGATAGCTAGATAGGTAGGTAGATAGAGGAGACAGATACAGAGAGAAAAGTGGATGTGTAGGAAGAAAGATAAGTATATAACAGACTCTCAGACAGACAGACACACAGACAGACAGATAGATAGATTGGGTAAAAGCTTTTTAATCCTGAAGCTGAGAGTTACAGCAGCACCGCTGAAACTATACTAATCACATTCAAAATAAGGTAGAGCTATGAATTTTACAGGGAATATTACAGTGATGTTTTCAGCGCATACAGACAGAACGGCAGCTCAGAGAACACGCCGTTCTGTTTCACTGCATCTCAAGGCCACCTTTGCTGCTGTATCAGGATACATAACCGCCCTCTGTGATGGTCTTAATAAACGAGGCCTTTTGCCGGTCTTTTTCAGGTAGCGGAGCAGCAGCAGAGACTGATCAGGAAAGACATGCACATCGCCTCATTACAGCAGAGCATCAGCGCGCAGCAGGACGTCTCCTATGACGGCACCTTCCTCTGGAGGATCTGTGATGTCAGTCAGAAGCTGAGAGAGGCAGGCACAGGGCAGAGGAGCAGTCAATACTCTCCAGGTACACACACGTAGCGCCAATCTGCTGCACTGCTCTCAGCGCTCTGCAGCTCACTCTGAAAAAAAAGTGACGCCTGGAATTTATTTCAGATTTGTACATGAATAAAATACATCACATCAGCACAGTTTTGTCTTTCAGTTTAGTAACTTTTTGTATCAACTGTGTTTAATATGTTGTGTTAATGTGGATAAACGATGCATATGTTTTTTGAAAATAGCCATAACAGAGGGAGAGAAATATTTAATGTATGCATGTAAATCTTTAACCACTTGTTTTTTACTGAAATGAATGAAAGTATTGTGCAGAAAAAATAAATATGAGTTGTGATTTATTGCTCTGTTTTTTTTTCAGCCTTCTATACATCCAGGTACGGATTCAAAGTGTGCATGCGGCTGTACATGTATGGAGACGGAGTGGGGAAAGGGACACACATCTCTCTTTTCTTTGTCATTATGAAAGGAGAGTATGACCCACTTCTTTCATGGCCCTTTAAGCACAAGGTAGGACACTGAGTGAATGAGTGCTACTAAGAAAACTGTACACAATGTCTGTATATAACCTGTTCCATACAGTAATACCTGTCCTTCTGCTACACTGTGTAATTACATAATAAATTACACTGTTAGTTTTCTGATTACAAAACCTCAATTCCAAAAAGAGAAAATAATGATTTATAAAATACATTTCGACCTGTATTTAAATGAAAACAGTACAAAGGCAAGATTGTCAGCCTGTCAGCTTCATTGTTAAATATGCACTCATTCTGAAATTAATGCCTACAACATGTTCTAAAAATGTAAGACCAAGAACACTGTGAAATGATCAGAAAACATCCTAAACAGGTGATGCATTCATGCTAAGATATAAAAGGGGCGTCCAGGAAATGCCTAGTACTTTATGAGCGAAGCATCAAGGCTCACCACTTTGCCAAAAATGTTGCCAACATTTAAAAGGACCAACATTCCTCAATGAAAGTATTTCATTGAAAGTATTTCACCCTGTGCTGTGCAAAGCATCATCAAAAGATTCTGGGAATCCAGAGAAGCCTCTCTACAAGGCCGAAAACCACAACAGAAGACTTCATATGGAAGCCCAGCATGTGGTATGTTGCAATGAAAGAATCTACAATTGTAGTCCTTTCATTCAAATACAGTTTTAAATGGCTTTCAGCACCTTCAGAAGACTATGCTGGACAGTGCTCGTGACCTAAGGGCAGATCCACGAGCAGCTCCTGAGGTCTCCTGACCACACTGCTACACACAGACTCAAACTATTTAATCATAGCCATTGCTTCTCCTGCTTTTCCCCTTTTCCATATCTTATACTAATAGTCAGACCTTATTCTCTGCTCATGTTGCTTTCGTGTTATTGTATGCTATCCGGTATCAACCAGAGGAGGATGGGTTCCCCTTTTGAGTCCTGGTTCCTCTCAAGGTTTCCTTCTCGTACTCTTAAGGAGTTTTTCCTTGTCACTGTTGCCATTGCCGACGCTCATGGGGACTAGCAAACTAACAAAATCAACACCAATGTGGAAAAATACAGTTCTTCTGGAGAGCCTCCACCGTGAGAAGAATCCACAAGCTGTATGAAGGAGAATGAGAGTAAGAGGCTACAGTCGTGGAGGAGTGAACCACTGTTCTCATTGGACGTTGTTGATGAAAATGGGAAATTGCATTCGCCGTGAAAATAATCTTGTGATTTTCATGTTTAGGTTCAGGTAAAATATTCAGTGTTTTTGCATCATCAAAATTTATTGTATTAATTGTAACTGTATGCAAAAGTTTGGGCAGCCCTACCGCAATTGTTGATGTAAACACTGTGCAGGAAGCTATTTAACAAAATGTGTAATTTTATTATTATTATTATTATTTTTTGCAAATGTAATTGCACAGTTAGTTCATATTTGATAAAACAGTAATGGCGGCATATGCAAAAGTTTCAACATCACTTCAGCTGTAGTCTCAGAACTTCCCCTTAAAATCCCAGGCTTATTACACACTAAGGCTTATTATTTAGTAACTACAGGGACGTCCGTGCAAACGGACTGAGCTATTCTTAGGTTATAGAAGTGTGTAATAAAAATTTTGAGCATATTTAGGGTTTTTTTTTTAATCATTCTGTCACTGTGGACTGGTGGTAAAAATTGAACTCTTTGGCCAAAATCACTGAAGACATGTTGGAAAAAAGGAGCAGCATTTGATGAAAAGAACACCTTGCAATCTGTTAAGCAGGGTGTGGATCTGTTATGCTTTGAAGTTGTATGGCAGTCAGCAGCACAGGAAGCATTGCACGGGTAGGAAGAACGGATTCTACAAAGCAAACGGGACAGTCTTTCAAGAAACTGAAGCTAAAAACGAGGCTTCTACAACAAAACAGTGATCCAAAACACACCTCACAGTCCACCATGAAGTTTAAGAATCGCAAGCTGACCTTTAAAGACCACTGACTTGGCTGTCATTGAAAATTTGTGGGTAGATTTTAAACATGCTTGGGCTGTCTTTTTAAACAAGACAGCCCAGGAATATCACTGTAAGGAAGAGTGTGTGAAATATTCCTGCTATTCCTGTTAATCTCTAATTCCTGGTGAAGCTTATTTTTTATTTTTTTTCCACTCATATAGATATAACAAAATAAAAACATCTAATGAACAAAAAGGGTCAACTTTGAACAATAAGACAATTGCAATAAACCGTGATAATGCAAAAATAATGCAATTAATGGGGATTAATTACTTGAACAGTCCTAATCAAAATACATTATAGCTTTATCTCTGATGTTAACTGCAGCAGTTTCGGATGCAGTGATGTAGCAGGCCTGCAACACCTTTGCTTATCCTCCCTGTTGTAGTTTTCGCAGTGTCGCTGTGGTGAGTCTCCTTTGACCTGGTTCTCTTCTCCTCAGGTGACGTTCTTCCTCATTGATCAGAACCAAAGGGAGCACGTGATCGACGCGTTTCGTCCTGATCTGTCCTCCGTGTCTTTCCACCGACCCATCTCAGAGATGAACGTGGCCAGCGGCTGCCCTCTCTTCTGTCCCCTGGCAAAGCTACGCTCGCCCAAGCATGCCTACCTCAAGGACGACACACTCTTTATCAAGTGTGTGGTCGACTCCTCCGCCTAAATGGGGGGCATGGCTGGGTGGAAGGGACTGATCTGATTAGCAGTGTAACAAATATTGTTGTGATTTGGTGTAATAAACTAAGAACTTAACCTGGCTGCATTCAAACTTTGATATAATTTAAATAATTAAGTTAATGTTAGATAGATGTTCTGTTAACTCAGTATTAGAGGTCCATGTTTTAAGGTAGCCAGGTTACTTATTTCTTTAAGGAAGCTATTTTTTATTCAGGATGAGCAATAAGAATCTGCCAAGATCAGAACTGGCCAATTTATTGTTTTTATTTTGGTCAATCTGTGCTGCAGTTGTGTGGCAAACTAGTGAGTTAGGTGCTGCTACACCTATGATCAAATATAGCAAAAATTACGCAATACTATATAATATATTGTGCAAAATAGACAGTTGCCACTTTCTTTCAATGTAGCACTTGATTCATGTTATTTAAATAGGCAGCTGATTTTTCATTTGAGAATTTAAAGTTCTAATTAAAAAGCAAATAATTATATTTATATTGAGACTTTAACTAATAAAAACTGCTGGAAATGTGCTGGTGTGTTTTATGTGTTCATTTAGCCCACACAGTGTGATTTTAAGTTTAAAAAAAAAAAGGTGAATAAAAGTCGTCTAAAAAAAACAGCCATTGGCCAGCTCTGCTGTAAAGAAGTCGGGACTGAAATTGACCATAGTAGTTTTACACTGTAAAAAGGGGGGATGCTCCGATGATGTATCACTGATTCGTTTTTATATTGAAAATATTGATGCAGATTGTTTTTTATTTATTTTTTATTATTTTTATGAAATCTGATGTGTATTTGATGCTGAAAAAAATAAATATTGTAGCAAAGAACAAGTAATTGTGCGCTGAAAAAATAAAACTTTGTCCAACGTAAATAAAATCTATTCTGCATTTGTACATTCAAATGAACTTTTTTTACATACTTGACTGAAATTTAAATATTACACTTACAGTGTGCGTATTTCAAATGTTGAGACAACTTAGTAATTTGTGTCCTGTGCTAGTTACTTAAAATTTGGGTAACACTATTTGGAGTGGTCCTTTGTAGATGATTAATAAACTCTTAACAGATTATCAGTAACACATCAACAGCATATCAGTGAAGTAGCAGTAGTGAAGCATCTGAATACACCGAAGTAAATATCTTGTAGATGCTCTGTTGATACATTACTTACATTAAGTAGATGTATTGTTAATATGTTACTTCCAGATACACCTAACCTTACCCAAAACCAAACCCTCACCCTAACCCTGGCCCTAATCCTAACCCTAAACTTAACCTCAACCCAAAACCTAATCCTAACCCTCACCCTGGCCCTAATCCTAACCCTAAACTTAACCCCAACCCAAAACCTAATCCTAACCCTCACCCTGGCCCTAATCCTAAACCTCATATGTTTTTCACATGTTACTGAGAGTCTGTTGAGTGTTTATTTAATCTAAAAGGACTACTCAAAATAAAGTGTCACCAAAATCTGTCTGTAAGAATTCCTTAATGCTGTTTAGAAGCCCACGGCAACAGACAGCAGGATTATAGCAGAGATCTTGCTGATTTCCTCCTCCAGACTTAAAGGGGAATTCCACCATTTTTTTTTACATTTCTGCATAATTTCTTCGTTCAGATCTAAACTTGGTCACATAGAGTGGTTTGAGGCGAAATACCTCATTCTAGAGAACCCGACTCAGAATTGTTTTTTTAGTGGTGGTGAGCCAGACATCTGAAGAGTTTAATGTATCTAATAGCCCCCTCACAGACAGATATTTCATTTAACAGTTATGAATACACTGCCTGGTTCCTGAGACATTGTTTTACAAAGTTTTTGAGGGAAAGTTTTGACCTAAAACACACTTTTAAAAATACATTCTTGGCACAGAGGTACATGCAGTGTTCTAAGAAAAAAGAAGAGAAAGAAATCTCAGTACATTTCTCTACAATTAACCATTTTAAAACATCTAAATGATTTAATTATGCAAAATCAGTTAAACCTGAAAAATCAGTGGAGATTCTCTTTAAACCACGGATGCCTTAACAACTGTACCACTACGCTCTTCCAAGGTTCCCCTGATATTACTTTTACCTCAGTAATTTATTTGTGATAAATAGGAGCTACACTGAGACAGAGTGAATACTCTGCTCTAATGGCAGATCATTTGGAAGGGGAATTCCACCAATTTTGTAAAATTTCTGTATAATTTAATCATTAAAGTGTAAAAAAGTCATTCAGTGGTTTAAAATGCTCCATTCTAGAGAGAATTGAATTGTTCACAGTTGGAACCACATGTCTGAAGAGTGTACTGCCTTTTAAAAGCTCCCTCACAGACAGTAATTACATGAAATGGTCATAAATATGATGCCTGATGCTTGAGACATTGTTTAACAGTAGTTCTGAGATAAGGCTTTGGCCTAAAATGTATTTTTATTATTCCTGGAGGAGAGATTTAAGGCAAATTGTTCCCAAAGAAAACTTATTTTTTCTGATTTACGACTATTTTACCATTAAAATTCCCTTAAACTCCAGTTTGGTCTTTGGCGGTTTATTTCATGCTAATTCAGTCTTGTAAAGATGGTTCTTCAAGGGTTCTTTAGTAAAGGCAATCATTCTTTTTAGAGTTCTATATTGAACCTTTTGCATGCTTAAATATTTTTTTGCATCGTGAAATGTTTCTTCAGACTGACGGAGAATGTGTTGTATATAGTTCTATACAGAGCCTTTTTGAAAATGGTTCTATTGTTACTTGCTTGACATTGTAATAGAAGAACCCTTTTTGGGTTTCAAAAAGGTTCTAAATAGAATCATATGCAACACATTCTCCATCAATCTTGCAAAGTAACCATGCAAAGAAACTTTTAAGCATGCAAATGGGCCTATATAGATCTAATGGTTCTAAATAGAGCCATTGCCTTTACTAAAGAACCCTTGAAGGACCATCTTTTTTAAGTAGGTATACTTCACTGATGTCTGCTTTTTCCCCCTTTACTTACTGCGCTGGTATCAGTGTTGGGATACTACCCATGATGTGACTGCATGCTTAAAAATATGTGCCAGAGAGGGTTTTTTGGAATGATGTCATGGAGGAACTACTGTTGGTTCCCTAAAAAACCTTTGCGTAAAGAACCATTGGCATAAATAAGACGTGATTCTGAAGAACCATTTTAACGTTTTGCATAACGTAAAGCTTCAGTAACAATGTATTTTTTTTTTCTAGAACCAAACCGGGAACCATTCAGAAACCTTTTTATTTCTATTTTTAAGAATGGTGAAACTGATTGGAAAGAAATTCCCATCCCTGTCAAGTGTACTGACCATGCTGTTGATGTGAGGATCTAGGGTCACTCTGGGTGATTCTCAGGTTTCTCACCCATCCCTTCTTTCCTTTTCTACCTCAGGCTAGCATTTACAGGGTTGCAAAACAAGGGCTGATGAAATATGTGAGTTGATTTGTGCTAAAATAACTGAAAGCAATTCTTCTCTGTGGTTTAACGCAATGAAATGATGCGAAATGTGACTGAAAGTGTGTTTTTGTAATAAATCTCAGCGGACGTAACGGCTCGAAGGTGTGGTGATTTACACAGAGTTTAAATTAATCAAATTAAACTGAACAGCGAACCTGGTTTTGAGAGCTCTTTCAAAAATAGTCTGACCAGCTCTGCATCATTTCCAGAAGAATGTAAGGAAAAATAAAGGCTGTATTATTTCACATGTAGTGGTTTATCTGTTTTATTTTGGACACTGAGGCTCACTTTAACTGACATGTAAATACTGTGGTTCTGTTTTAACAGTTCGATTTTGAAGTGTTGTTGCTTCTTTATTCTGTGTAATATTAAATGTATTCATTCTTCAAATCGATTCCAGTTATTTTATGATTTATCTTTTTTTAAACAATGTTTTACAAGTACTAATGGGAATCATATTAGATCTAATATCATAAATTAGTATTTCACCACATGCTGATGGTTTGCCTTGTTCAATGAAACAGATAATGACATTTAATAAGCAGCATTATCAAGCGTATTAATCAGGAGCTTTCACCCCTTTGCCGCAGTGACAGCCTCTACTCTTCTTTGAGGCTTTACATGAAATGTAGGAACACTGCTGTGAGAATTTCATTGTATTCAGCCACAAAAGTGCAAGAGGTATTGAAAGGAGCTTCATTGCTCTAGAGAACACAGTTCCACAGCCCAATACTGGGGGCTTTATAGCCCTCTATAGTCAACACTTGGCGTTGGACATGGTGACCTCAGGCTGTGCAGCTGTTCCAGAGAGTACCATTCAGTTCCATTCAGTTCACTAATTATAGGGGATGACTAGATCCTGCTGCTGGGATCTCAGAAATGGGAGTAATAATTTGGAGATCTGGAATATGAATCATTCCACTGAATTAGTAGAATAGAGCTAGGGGCTTTGGGACTTTTAACTGACTTGGACTTTAGACTATATCTTTTTGCTTTGAGTAACCCTAAACCTTAATTATATTATTATTAAAACAAATGGTTGAACATCCCATTTTGTCACTACTGAGATAATCGCATCACTACTGACACCAAATTTTTTGACAGGAACTGTTTCGGTAATGACAATTTTAGCTAAGTTTGAGCATAATTAAAAAAGCTAGCCAGTTCATGACTAGCAAACACAGCTTTGAACAGTCGTACACAAATAAAATCATCATTTTTTCAGAAAATATTTGTTTGAGTAGTGATAATTCTTAACGTTACACACTGATTTTCAGACATTGGGACACATTTGCTTCAAAACAATGGTATCTAACTGCTCAGTATGTGGCCATGGGTGTGGCTAAAATAAGGCGCCACCCATAGACTAAAACTGTGTTTCGGTATGGACATGAAAACAAAGGCAGCATTTTTTGAATAAAGTTTTTAACTTAAAACATTCTGATCATGATAAATCTAAATCTTTCAACTTCACTTTATAAGAAATCACAAAGAATTTACAACATTCAAAAAATGCAAAAAAACTATTTTCCCAAGTTGGAATGGCTTAGGGTTTGGGACAGACACCTCCCAATATTGACATAGTAATATGCTAAATATATGCAAAATGATTGCAAATATTTAGCATATTACCATGTCAATATACCCTGAGTTTAAATAGATTATAACACAATCCTTGTAAATATCTATAGTGTAAGCACTCCATTGTTTATTTTTTGCTGCAGTTTGAAGTAATATGGTAGAACAGTGCTTATGTAGAGTTATTTAGGAGAAAGTGAGGTCAATGCTGACACACTGCTTCAGACATAGTGGCCACAATGAGTAAATAAACATCCTTGTAACCTAGAGCTGCTCTTTGTCATGTCTGCTTTGGCATGTTGCCTAGTCTCGCTGAGTACATAAGAATATTACTATAAAATGACTGAAATGGGCTTGCCCACTGTGGCCAGATAGAAAGGGCAGCTTGATCTGCCCTCATCCTCAGCAATGTCACCCAAATGTCACACTGCTGAGACAAAAAGATTGAGGTCTACAGCTCATTAAAGGGACACTCCAGCCAAATTAAAAAAGTAACCAGTGGTGCATCTGCCTACTCACCCCTTATAGCAGCGCCACAGTACTGAGATTTCTTGGTTTAAATATTGGGACACCCCCCTATCTGATGACATATCTTTTTAAAAGGTGGATGTAATTTCTGAAAGAGTACTGTAAGAGAATACTTGCTTCAAGCTTTTTGACTAGCTGACTGAATTATTTCTTTAACAAAGAAAAAGTTTGACGACCAACTGAGGTCAGTGCTTATATCACTGGTGCAGGCTAGCACTACAGATTATTTATTAGCCTCTAGATCAGCGGCTAGCATGCAGTATTTCTGAGTATATGTTTAGATTCCCCAGTGATTGTGTGATGTACTTGCATATAGAACAATGATGGACATTTGACATACGACATTGTGAAAATGATACAAAACCATGAATTCTGTCAAACAGATGAGGATAAAAGGTGCAATGCAGCATAACAGGATACTTCGTAGCATAACACATAAGATAAATTTACCTGTTTCAAATGTGTACATCATTTCCATGTGAACGAAGTATATTATGCCAACATAGTTTTGTCTTTTGGATTTACTCATGTTCTGACTGGCCACTTCATTAAGTACACCTCCTTGTTTCTACAATCATTGTCCATTTTATCAGCTCCACTGACCATACTGGTGCACTTTGTAGTTCTACAATTACAGACTGTAGTCCATCTGTTTCTCTGCATACTTTTTTAGCCCCCTTTTACCCTGTTCTTCAGTGGTCAGGACCCCCATGGACCCTCACAGAGCAGGTACTATTTGGGTGGTGGATCATTCTCAGCACTGCAGTAACACTGACTTGGTGGTGGTGCGTTAGTGTGTGTTGCGCTGGTATGAGTGGATCAGACACAGCAGTGCTGCTGGAGTTTTTAAACACCTCAGTGTCACTGCTGGACTGAGAATAGTCCACCAACCAAAAATATCCAGCCAACAGCGTCCTGTGACCACTGATGAAGGACTAGAGAATGACCAACACAAACTGTGCAGCAGCAGATGAGCTATCGTCTCTGACTTTACATCTACAAGGTGGACCGACAAGTTGTATCTAAGAGAGTGGACAGTGAGTGGACACAGTGTTTAAAAGCTTTAGCAACACTGCTGTGTCTGATACACTCTTACCAGCACAACACACACTAACACACCCCTGCTGTGTAATTGTCACTGCAGTGCAGAGAATGATCCACCACCCAAATAATACCTGCTTTGTGGTGCTCCTGTGGGGGTCCTGGCCACCTTGCACTGTTGCCTTTGGCTTGTTCACAGGGGTTCAGACCCAGACTTTCTGTAAAGCTGCTTTGTTGAAATTTGACTGACCGTTGAAGGACATGGTGAAAGGGGGTTAATAAAGTAAGCAGAGAAACAGATGGACTACAGTCTGTAATTGTAGAACTACAAAGAGCACGTATAAGCTAAATGGAGCTGATAAAATGGACAATAAACATAGAAACAAGGTAAGCATACATAATGAAGTGGCCAGTCAGTGTATAATATATGCATGTGTAAATTCTGTTACTCATTTAAATCAAGTAAATTCAGTCTCACTGGCTCATAAGTATCAATACCTCGGAATCCTAATCTCAGATCTCAGAACAGGCCTCATTGGCTCATGTAATTCTCTTCAGCATTATGTAAAAGGAATCATCTGATCCCAGATCAGCATTCGGCCTTCGCCTTTGATAAATATCAGCCATTGTGAAGACAGTCCATTCAATCTGGCACTGCAGTGATGCAGAAACAATGTAGTTATTATTTTTTCTGATTTATGTAACTCTCTCATAAACTCAGTGTATCAAGGATTAAATGACCCAGATCACGGCAAAGTGAATTTTCCTCACTTTCTTTGAACTGAGAGTTGTAGTATGTAAACACTGTTAAACTTCCCCGCCCCCCAGTCCATACAGGCCACATATGGAAATTACACTGCACAACAGCCCCAAGAATCCTTTTTAAATGAATTTAATTGAAATGAATATCATGACAGCCAACAAATTCACATTTTCCCCACCCACTGATGCACAGTGATGTAATCAAAAATCAGATGTTTTAAAGGCAGGCAAAGGTCATTACAATGAGATGGAAGATTACAGGAAAACAATGATTTTGTCTTTTGAATAGTATTACACATGAAATGAACATAACATCTGATAATATGACATGAACTAACAAGGTAAAAACTTGGTTGACTTTAAAGGCACAGTAACAGTCTTAACAATTCTAAGGAATAATAATAATAAGAGGTTGGAAAATGGCCATGTAATAAATGAGTATGTTTTTGTACAGAAACTCACACAAGTGTTATAATTGGAGCTCAGGGAAAAAATAAAATATGAAAAAATAAAGGATAGGGACCCTTTAAAAGATTGAGTTTGTTTTATTTATCAAATACTTATATACTTACCTTATTTATGAAATTAATTTATTGCAGTCTAGTTTTAGTTGTTAGATTTTCCAATACTAGCCCACTTTTATTTATAAATGTGTCTTATAGCAGTCTAGTGTATTTTTTTAATTTTCTCTATACCAGCCCACATTTATTTATTAAAATCTCTTACAGCAGTCTAGTATTATTTTTGAAATGTTTCAATACTAGCCCACTTTTATTTATTAAAAGCTCTTATTGTAGTCTAGTTTTATTTCTTGAATGTTCCAATACTAGCCCACTTTTATTAATAAAAGTGTCTTACAGCAGCCCATTATTATTTTTTTTTATTTTCTCTATACTACCCCACATTTATTTCTTAAAATCTCTTACAGCAGTCTACTTTTATTTCTTAATTTTTCCTATACTAGCCCACTTTTATTTATTTAATTCTCTTATGGGAGTCTAGTTTTATTTCCTAAATTTTCTTATACTCGCCCACTTTTATTTTTTAAATTCTCTTGTAGTAGTCCAGTTTTATTTCTTAGATTTCCCTTCACTAGGCAACTTTTATTTCTTAAACTCATCAGTACTGAGCCTAGTTTTATTTTTACTGATGTCCAGCATGGTCAACGGGAAAGTTCACAGCAAAGCCATTATCATAACTTTTCAATCATAATAATCATCTTTAAGGCGACTTCCACAGTTCTTGCTGTGACGTTAGCTGATCTGAGGTCAGTGTTCAGCTCGTGTCCGTCAGTTCGGCTGCAGGAGGAGCTGCTCTTCCTGCCTGCTGCTGATGATGGAGCTGTGAGTTAATTACATAAGCAAAACGTAAATGATTCGCGGGAAAAGGTGAAAAAATGGCGACTTGCACAGGCACAGTTTGAGCGCTGCACGGCCAGCACACCAGCCCGGGGAGAGAAAACTAACTTTACTCTGCGAATGGAAGAGTGTGCAGCGAGTGGAGCATTTCGAGCATAACTTATTCCTCCTGAGGAGTGGAGAGAAATCAGCACGGTAACACACAAGAAGGGTTTGAATCGGAGCAGCTAGCGGGCTAACTGTAAACCCAATTCAAACTGAACGTCACTGCCTGCCTATATGAGTGTGTTATAGTAGGGGTGAGGTCGGGTTTGGCTCGTAACTGACTGCAAACTACAGTTTGTCCTTATTTTTTGTGCACTGTATCTTAACGTGTGACCCCTCAGCGTGTCTTCAGACTTTCCCTGCTAGGAAAAAAGTGGCTATTTTTGCTTTTTAAGAAGTTTAAATGTTGCTTTTCGTACGTTAGTCAGAGCTAAAGCTGCTCCTTTTGAATCGGCGAGGGGGGAAAGCGGTTAGCTCGATGTGCTAAATAAGACGTCAATGTTATAACTCACTGCAAATACGCGCTGTTTTCAACCAAACGTTGTATTTTTTGCAACGGTTTAGTGAGTAGTCCTGCCCGTGGAGTGCAAGAAAGTGGAAATTGAACTTTATTACAGTACGTAATGGTTTAAAAAGCTGTCTGCACAACCTCGTTCCTCTCAAAAACAAGCGTGAAGTAAGTTAAGTTAACGTTAACTGAACTAATGCAAGAGTATTAGCCAGCTAACCTAACCTCCGTGTGGGTTCGTATCTCCGGAGGAGGGCCATCCCAACTTACAGTATTTTCCACTAGCTTAGCATGAGCAGTGGCTCAGTTATGTTAGTTATGTCTTCGTTTCGTGCAAAGGCTGTCATCTTTTGCATGGCGCTTTAAGACACGGCCGTGTAAAGCAGGTGAAAATGAGTTCCAGCTCTGAGTTAAAGTTAGTTGACATCGTTACTGAAACGGCGCTGTGTTTCTGCTGCTTTTGGTTTCACTCAGTTCTTGGCGGATTTTGAGTCATCCAACAGTCCCTGCTCAGCAGAGGAGGTACTTTTTTCTTTCGACTCTTGCTAAGTGAATCAAAACTGCCCGAGTGGACCGTTTGTGGCATAACTGGCCGCTGAATTTAGATTTGTAGTTCATACCGCAAGATTTCCTCGTGGCCCCCCTGCTTTCTATGTAGGTCTGAAGTTAACGGACAGTGCTGTGAAGAAACAACTGATGGTTAAACAGACCTTGCAGCGCTTACACTGTCCCTCAGTAGCATGAAGCACATGGCCTATGTGTGTTTCCTCACTGAGATTTGTTAAAGCTCTTAAAATCCCAGTCTTACTACGCGCTAAAGCTTTGTTCAGTAACTACAGGGACGTCCACCTGGTTGAGCTATTCTTATAGAAGTGAGTAATAACACTTGGCCCTTTTAAAGGGTTAATTCAGATGATGCTGAGCAGGTGAATCTGGTTTACCAGACTCTGAAATGGTCCAGCTGCAATCTGTGGTTTGATGCTGGGGTCATGGATCAGTGATGAAAGCTAATGTTTGGCTCTTTCTCCTTCAGGAACTGTAGGTGTGCTTGGTAAGTATGTTGGAAGGAGCCTACCGGGACAGCTACCTGGCTGTGGGTCCGGAGGAGCTGGAAGCCAAGCGGCTGCTGCCCAAACGCGAGAAGAGCTGCAGTGACCTGGAGAGCAAGCTGACCGTGGGGCAGTACGTTCTGTGCCGCTGGTCTGACGGCCTTTATTACCTGGGGAAGATCCAGAGGGTGAGTTGGCTACCCTAAAAGTGTTGGGGCACACCTATGTTTTAGGACCTCTGTGTTACAACAGATTGTGTTGTTTAACCGCCTTAAATGCCCATGACCTGCCACCAGGTCCAGGCCACCAAGACCAGTTTGGTCTTTCCTCACAGTTACTGACTGATAAGCCTTGGCAGTATAAGAAGCCTGGGACTTCAGGGCGTTGAAAGGAAATTCCAAAAATTCTCCATAACTCAGTCATCAAGATGTAAACAATTCATTGTGGTTTGATATGACATGCTGCTAGAATTATTCACAGTGGTGGTGATAGAAGCCAAACATACCTGATGTCTGAGACATTGTGTTGTGATGCTTTGGAGATAAACTGCACAAAGGAAAGCTACATGTAGGTCGTTGCAAGGCAGAGTAATACCCAACACATTTTTTTTTCTGGTTCATCAGTGTTGTAACATTGTAATATCGTATCAGCATTGCACTTTGAAAATCAGAAGACACATATAGGTTTACAGATGGTTTTGGATAGCAAGGTAAAATGGCTGTATTTGTATCACAACCACACTACTAGCAAGGAATTTTAGACACATAAGTTTTTATACGTTTTCAGCCCTCTCTGAAAGTCTTTGTTTACATCTCCATAACTGAATTTTGCAGAAATTTTGAAAAACTTGAAGAATTTCTCCTTTAAGAAAGGAAATGGGGGCGCAGTGCCGGTGGTGCTCCTGGAGTTGTCTGATGTAGGAAAACTGATACAGTGAAAGAAAAAGCACTTTGAATTTACATGATTAAAATGTAGCAAGTATTAACACATGAATAACATGTGATACATCAACACAAGTCTTGCAGATTTAAAAAGCAATTGTGATTTGATTGATGTAATTGTGTGCAACCACTTGCCTAATTTTAATCAGGAACCATTTTTTTCAGTGTATTAACATGCTCATGATGACCTTTATTAGATAGATAAGATGTTAGATTTGGGTAAATACATTGGATTTACTTGATTCAGGGGTGCACATCATTTCCATATGAACAACATATGTTCGATGAACACAATTATTTCCAAATGTAAGTCAACTAAAAAGTTGTGTTGATGTATTTAAAATTGTTCAGGTGGTAATGAATATTAGTAGAAAATTCAGTGCATCACTTTTCTCAGTGCGTGGCTGGGCTTTGGGAACAAGGTTAGTTACCTTGGGCCCTCACTTTTCTTTGGGATCATGTATGACGCATGTGTTACTCGTGAATTATGTAAGAGGCAGAATGTTTAGCTTGTGACCTATGGATTAAGCAGTGGATGTTTTAAAGTTATGTGAAGTGCATTGACCACACGAATGGTTTTAATTTACCTCTTTGTAGTTTCAAAGCAAGAGCGAACAGTGTGCTTTGAGTTTCAAAATGTATACTTCATGAGAAATGTATTAAGCAGTAACGTACAGTAAAGCAGTAAAGTCATTGCAAAAGTATGTCGTGTTATATGTTCATGTTTTACTCACCCTTTATGTACCATAGGTGAGCTCTTCAAAGCAGAGCTGCTTTGTCACATTTGAGGACAACTCAAAGTTCTGGGTGCTGTGGAAAGACATACAGCATGGTATGCATCCTTAATTCCTCTTCTAACAGAACTGCTATGCAGTGCTGTAGTATTATGGCCTGTTTCCATGGAGCCATAATAATGCTTTGTGCATGTGGCTTATCTGTGCGTTTGATTTACCCTCATTAATCAGTGCCATATGAGCCAAATGGAGCAAATTTAACACCGTATTAATGAATGTAACCATATTGATCTTAGTGTATTGGTGCGTTATTGTTGTCTTAGGTTTATTCTGTGTGTCATGGGGTATGCATGGTATAACTGCACTGTGCTGAATAACTGTGGTGTTTTTTTGTGTGGAACTCAGCCGGCGTCCCGGGAGAAGAGCCCAAATGCTCCATGTGCTCTGAGATGACTATGGTGTCTGATAATAAAATCCTTATCTGTGGGAAATGTGGAATAGGTGAGTCACTTCACAGCACTAAAAGTGGAGATTTACATGTAGATGGGAGTAGCTTGGGAAATAAAATGTCAACTGCCAAATATCAGCAAAGCACTTTGAGCTGTGAAATATTAGAAAATGTTGTTTGTACTGTTATGAAACACCAGTGGTTTTAATTCACATAATTCAGCCTGCTAAGGGCTGTCATTAGGGATGCAGTGATGTGGAAATAATGGGCATATTTCAGTATCTGATCATTTTTTATGTACGTGTCTGCCAATACTGATAGATGAACGTTCATAAAATATAGCACTTCATCTACCAGGGTTAGCATTACAGTGAAATATAACGTTGTAAGCCTTTTTGCTCTTTTGGAGTACAAGGGCTCTAGACTAACAGCTTCCCATTGACCCAGGTATGATTAAAATGGTGCACGGCCAGTGTTTAAACCGTTTTGGGACAATTCATGGACAATAAACTTGCATGCAGAAACTGTCATAAAATCAGGTGCCAGCCATCCATGCCCACGCTAAATTTAGCAATATTTAATCCACAAACTGTTTTTAGTTCACATTTAAATGACATTCTCAATCACATTTCTACCACAAGCATAATGCAAGTTTAATTAGCCTGTAAATGGGAATTCCCATGTAATATTAGCATCAAGCTAACAGTTACGCTCATTCACGTTTTTAGCATGCTCTACCTTAAACATGGAAAGTTAAAGCCTGAAACAGACAAGTAACGTTTTCTTACTTTGTTGGGTTTTTACCGTCTCTGGAGTCCTTTTCAATAATGTAGTACAGACAAGTACAGTGTACAGTGATGTCATAGCGCCTAAACGTTTAACCCCTTCAGACCCAAATTATGTTCCAGGGCACAGCGATGATCTATCAGTATATAATAATTTTAAGAGTAACTGCAAGACAGCTTGAACGCAATCTTTACAGAGATTGTTTTGCATTTCGCTGCTGTCAGAACAAAACCATGTATCTCCATAGTGGTAACTTTACAGGAGAAGGAAAAAACCTACTTTGCTTTTATTGTAAGTCAGTGGAACCAGAGTTTTTTCCATGTAATTTTGGGTCATTTCTTTTGGTCTGTTTGTCATAAAATTTACGCACAATGTAAAAGACAACGCAAACACACACACACACACACACACATCATCTAAACCGCTTATCCTTCTGGGTCGCGGTTGGGTGCTGGAGCCTATCCCAGCTGTCCATCGCAGGGCGTAAAGGACAACGGGTATTTTTAAATTATGTCAATAACTGAAAAACGACAAAAAAGGAGATACAAGGTTTTGTTCCGACAGCAGCGATTTAAAGAATGCAGTTCATTACAAGGAATAAAGTGATGTTATGTTAACATGATATGTTAACATCACGTATTTAGTTCGAGGGCTTTTGAAAAACACTCATAGAAATGGTGAACACGTAAATGTGTTAAGGAACCATAAATGTGTTTGTATGCATGTGCGTGTGTGTGTGTGTGTGTGTGTGTGTGTGTGTGTGTGTGTGTGTGTGTGTGTAATTTAAATGACTGATCTTTCTTACAGTAAGAAGCAGAGGCTGATAGATACACCCATAGATGCATATTTTTGCCTCATCATGTTTATATATTATTTAATTGACAACCTTTAGAAGGCAGGTATGTATTCCTAGGTATATATTTTTTCCAGTAAAGTTTTTTGGGACCTTTGAAAGGTTTTGCGTGGTTTATTATTGTTCATTCAAGTCTGCAGTTATTGTCTGGCTTTTTACATAACTAGCATATTACTTGAGTACTAATATATACAATATTGATAGCTCTGTATGCCACTTTGTAGTTTCAAACATGTAGGAAAACCACCACTGTAGTATTTCAGTTTTTTTTGCTGTGAGTTCCAAACTGAGGCACAACTGTAGAATATCAGTCTGGTTGAGAATCCATACTGTCTGCAGAGCCAGCAGGAGTATTTTGAGCCTCTCTGAAGCGGTGGAGGCTAAGGCTGCTCGGCATGTAATGACTCATGGGGGGACCTGCAGCTGGCTCTCTTTCTGCACTCAGAGGGATTAGTTCACACTGCGGCTCCACTCTTCATATATTTACAGCTCTGATTGCCTTCAAGACGAGCCGCTTCTCAAACGCTTGTCCTCTCTGTTGTTTTTTCCGCTTCATCCATTTCCGTTAGGCTACCATCAGCTGTGCCACGTGCCACAGGTGGAGAGTTCGGCTGACCTCTCGCCGTGGTTCTGCAGGAAGTGCATTTTCGCCTTAGCTGTGAGAGTAAGTGTGCCTTTATGTCTTACTTTTCTCTGTTCTCATTTTCTTTTCTTTTCTCAATTATAGTTTTTATTGCTTAAAATAACAAGCATACATAAAGTGCAAAAAATATAGCCAGGAATTGGAAAGCAAAGCAAAATATAACAAGACAAAACTCAGAAAACAAAGAAAATAGCAACACTATATAACTAGGTTTTACTGGTCTGGTGCAAACCACAGCTGTAAACCTTTTCTGAACTACCTGCTCCCATTTCGTTCTTTTCCATTTGACTTAGCCAGGCCTCGTAACAAGCACATAACCTTGCAATGACGGCATTGAGATACTGACTCTAGCTGGCGGAGTACAATTTCTCATAATGTAACTCTTTGGCAGGTGGACCAAATGAGGCCGGAGAGGCTCAGAGCCTCCAGCTTGCTGACGTGTGTGTTTCTCTCTCTTACAGAAAGGGGGCGCTCTGAAGAAGGGTCCCATAGCCAAAGCTCTACAGGCCATGAAGCAAGTCCTCACTTACAGCACAGAGGAGCTGGAGTGGGACTCGCTGCACCGCACCAATCACCAGCAGTGCTACTGTTACTGTGGAGGACCTGGGGAGTGAGTGACCTACTCTCTCTCTCTCTCTCTCTCTCTCTCTCTCTCTCTCTCTCTCTCTCAGTCTTTATCTATGTCTGTGTTTTTCTCCATCTCTTTTTGTCTCTTTCTCCATTTTTATCTGTTTCTTTTTGTTTCTTTTCAATCCGTATCTCCTCTTTTTCCATCTTTTTCCATCTTTATCTGTCTTTTGTCCATCTTCATCCCTCTCTCTTTTTTATCTTTATCTTTCTCCTTCTTTATCTTTTCTCCATTTTTATCTCTCTTTCTCTCCCTCCATCTTTATGTATTTGTCCCTCTCTCTCTCTCTCTCTCTCTCTCTCTCTCTCTCTCTTTCTTCATCTGTACCTCTCTGTCTTTCTCTCTGGTTTGGTCTTGTTTCACTTCCTCTCTACCATTCTTGCTCTGTTTTTTTTCTTTCTTTCTCCTTCTCTTTGTCACCTCTCTTTCTTTTTTTCTCACTCTCCCTCCTTCTCTCTCTCTCTCTCTCTGTTTTTTCACTTCCTCTCTCCATCTTTTCACTTCCTCTCTTCATCTTTTTATCTCCCTCTCTCTGTCTCTCTTTTTTTCCCTCTCTCTCTTTATCTCTCTTTCATTCATTCTCTCCTTCTCGGTCTCTGGTTTAGTCTTTTTCACTTCCTCTATACCAGCTTTTCTAAGTCTCTCTTTCTTTCTCTACCTTTGTCCCTTTGTGCATTTTTTAAACTTGTTATTTCATGTCCCTCATTATATTAAGCACAATTAATCACATCAAATTGTTTATAAGACAGAATTGTTGTTTTCCCGTCATTTTCCATCAAAATGTAATGACTTTTACCTAAATGATGCAATGCCTCTAAATAGTGTAAAGCCTTTGAAATGTCTTTTGATTTTTGATTACATCATTGTGCACCAGCAGGTGGGGAAAAATAATATTAACTAGTTACCTCACGTTTCACCTCCATCTTCCGCCTCCCCACCTGTCCAGAGAAAAGGCTTATGTAGCTCAGAGATCCTCCCTGATACCTTGTTTCACTAAAAAAAATCACTGTACTTTAAAAGTCTTATAAAGTCTAAAAGTACAGTTAAAAATGTTAGATGTCTTATTTTGTATTGATAGTCATTACATTTTAAGATGAAGCCTAAATGCTGTGTGAAAGGAATTATTATGTAACATTAAACTAAACAGAAAAGTCCGCCAACTGAAAATATCATGCCAGCAGCGATAAGGGAATGCAGAACTGATAACAAAGTCAAAGACACTGAAAAGACTGTTTAAGGAAAAGAGAGAACAGTTAGTAGAGTTAGATAGAGAAAGATAGTGACAACATATATCATGCATGTATCTTAAAGTGTATATACAACCAGTCTGATTCCATGAATACATGCCATATTTGATATTGTGTGTATTGTCATGCACTGGAAAGTTAATTTTTCTTTGCTGATTTGCTGATGAATTTTTATTATAATCAGTGTGGAAACATTGCAAGTTTTAAGTAACCTAATTACATTCAGCTTGCGAACTTGATTCAGCTTTTAGATGAACTTCACTAATCAGAAGCAACCAAACTGTGACATCACAACAGACAAAAGGCCCATACCTCAGTTTATAGAAAACAAATGCAATTTATAGAAAACAGTCGCAATTTAAATTGAAATCGCAACACTAGTCAGAAAAATCGCAAATAGATATTTTGCCAAAATCGTATAAATATTCTTAACCTCTCTCTCTCTGTGTCTTTCTCTTTTTTCTTTTTCTCTTTGGTGTTTTTCCACTTACTATCTAACAATCTTTCAATCTCTCTCTTTCTGTTCTTCTTCTTCCCTATTTGCATTTCTCTCTTCCAGTCTTCTCCTCTCATCATAATACAGTATGACCCAGCTTCCAGAAATACACCCTCACCCTGCACTAATGGCCAGTTTATAAGGCTCTACCGATCTCTTTGGAGTATATGCTCTGCTTGTTTCACTAAGGGACACAAAGAGAGATCAGCGTGTTAAGCCAAGCTGACCGGCTGCACCAAACGTTAGTGGAACAGTCTGCCCCTCTGCTGCCATTTCCATTTCCCCTGCCCCGCTTTCACTTTATTAGCTTACTCTGCACTTGCCATGCTGTTTGGTTTGGTGTTGTTTGTAATTGCACAGCTCTTAATTGGTCTATTAAAAATTCTCTGTGTTCCCTGTCTGAAAAAAGATACAGTACAGTCTTTATCTTTTTATTCCATCTCCCTCAGATGGTACCTGAAAATGCTGCAGTGTTTCCGTTGTGAACAGTGGTTTCACGAGGCTTGCACACAGTGCCTGCAAGAGTCCATGATGTTTGGAGATAGGTAAGTATTAACCCAAAAAAGCTCAGCTTTTCACAACTATTGCATAAAAAAACCCAAACCTTTTCGTTAGTTCAGTCCGTTTTGTACCCAATTTAGTAAAGAGTTCCCCAACAAACAGCTGAATTGCGGTCCATCGGAAATAGCAGGTCCGCTTCCAAGTGAACTGTGGTTCAATTTGCTGCTTGTAGGGATGCATTTTTGTGATGGTCTGCACCGAAGAGGGAAATCAGCATCAGAGCAGGCTTTTTTCTTTTTCTTAGCCACGTGTGAGCGCTGTCCTGTCCTCATAATCTACCTGCTTTAACATTTTTACGGATGCTCATATCTCTCTTGAAGCGCAGACTGCCTCTATTAATGGCAGATAAGCAATAGCGAAGAATTTGATTTTGCTACATGGACCGCAGAATTTATTTTTTTAATAGGTTCAGCCAGGCACTGATGATCCGATTAAAATTGGCGCAAAATTAAACCCATAAAGAAACAGAGATTAAGTAAGGTTTCTTTTTTATTACTCTGATTGTGATACATCCAGACATTAAGCAGTTCTGTTATTATGCAGCATTATGTGTAGAATTATAAATTGTTTCACAAATACATTAGAGGATAGATATGTATTTTATACTGTGATAGGCTAATAAAAGTTAAAATTAAACATACGTCGTTTTCTCCACTGATGGAGACCAATGTAAACGTATCTCTGCCAAAGTCCTGACCAGACGGAGACCCACATGTATACTTTAATGTACTTTAGATGTTGCGGTGTGAAACCAACCAAACCAAAGGAAAAGATGCATTGTGACAAAACCCCAAATTCAGGTGTATACTTTAGCAAATTACCCGATAAAATAAACTGTGGTCCCTCTGAGCCCCTGGGGGGGTTGTAGTCGTGTTGAAGCCTTAGAAGAACAGAAGAAATGCTAAGATGTTTTTTTTTCATTCCACAAACGTAGAGCTTTTCATTAAATTTAAATCATAATAAAATATCTTGTCGTCTAGTCATTGACAAATGTGATTGAGAATTTTTGAATCCATAGGTTTGACGGTTTTTCTCAGCTTATTTTAATGAGGTACAAGTGACAAGTAATTTGTATCAAATTACAACGTGTCTTTGTTATCGGTAGTGATAACGGCAAAGGGTTAGATTAGCTTAGAGTGCTGAAATTCTCTTCTTCCTGTGAAATGCATCCTTAAGGTGTTTTACAAACACGCCGGTTAGCTTCGTTGTAAGCAGCCAGGACCCGACAGCTGGTCCAAGCTTCTATTTCACTCTTCTTTAATAACTCATAAGCCTTTGGGTATAATAAGCCTGGGATTTTAAGGGGTTAAAAAGAACTGAGGTAATGACAAACCATAATGAAATGTTCTATTGATGGCATCCTGTGAAGAGTGAATTATAACAAATGTATTCAGTGTTACAGCACACACAAAAGAAGCAGCGCGCATTAGGGGACTGTAAAAGATCATAATGGTTGTGTTGAAATAGCCATGTCTTTGCATAAAGCTCCATTCGTTTCCTTTCATTTCGCTTCCTGGTCATTTAAATTCCTCCCCGTCGATTTTCTGTCTCTTTCTGCTTTTATCTCCACAGGTTTTACTTGTTCATTTGCGCGGTGTGCAATAAGGGAGTGGAGTACATAAAACGTCTGGCTCTGCGCTGGTAAATGCCTTCGCACCTCTTTCCTTCACAAACGACTGCTCCTCGTGTCTCGTGTCAAAATTATATAGTGAAAGTGCTGGATATGATTGATGTAGACAATAGCCTCCTGGAGATGTCTCAAGCATCCAGCTATTTTTGAAAGATGAGTACACACTGTATTCCTGGAGTAATTTCCAAGCGTGAAATCATACCTTTTGGCCCAAATCATAAAAACTTCAAATTTGACTTCATGTGTAGTTAGATGAATAAGGGTCAAGCTTTGCTTTATATGGTAGGTCTTCCATTTGCTACATACATCTTGGTCATTTTAGCAGTGGTAGCGAGGCGGTTGATCTTAAGCATGCTGTGTAAGTGCAAATTTTAGTACTTATTTAATGGGTTGAGTTGGTGTTTTTTTTTGTTTAGAAACAACATGAACTAATAACTTTACCCAAGGGGTGGGCAATATGATGATGTGTATTGTTATTATGATAAACTGTGTCACATCACATTACTGTGGATATCGTAATTATACCGTAAAGCTGTTTTTTTCCCATTAAACTGAAATATTGTGCCCTGACATCAGTCTTCTTGAAATGTAGCTCTTCTTTTTAAACTGTCAAAATAAGATTTAAGCTGTCAAACATCAGTACCATGGCAATTTGCAAATCAGTCAACCACTGTTGCCGCTCCCTGATGACAACACCCACCTTGCGCTGCACTGAAAAAAATGAAATATGAGAAGTAGACTGCAAGAAGTTACTTGTAAATTAACCAGGTTGTTGGAATTTTTTACCTCATGTTAGTTAAGGCTGGCTGTATGAGAAACTGTCGCAGCAAATCACTCAAACTATCTGGAGAAAATGAGCCAATATGTATTTTTTTCCCTTTTTTAGCCTGTTTACAGTAGATACTACCACAGCTGTAATAATGCTAATTTTTGCTATCCTGTCTATGGGGTTTCAGCATTATATTAGCACCAAGCTAACGCTGGTACTAACGCTGGTAAAACGTTCTCTTTCCAAAGCTGGATTTAATATTACTTGCTTAAATATAAGATGTTTTATTATCTATATGCTTAGATAATTGTGCTCATTCCTTCCATCCCTTATTTAATTCTGGATTGTATTTGTGTTCATATGCTGAGATTATAAGAAAGATTTTTGTGAAGGTATATAAGCATTTCAGTATCTTTATTGTAATCAGTGAAATTAAGATGACAGAAACAGAGAAGTGTTACTTTATCCTTTTTACTTTTTAGCATTGGAGCCCCCACCATCTTTTCCTCCCAGATAGTTCAGTGTCCCTTCCCATTTCTGAGCATTTTTCACAGTTGAACTAGGGGTGGAGTTATCTGAAACTAGGTGGGATCCCAAATGCAAATAGGGCTTACGACAGGAACTTGAATGGGTTTCAGATGTAAATCAACTAATAGTGATACTAGCAAAGGTATCGACTCTATTTGTAGTGTGGGAATCAGTAATACCAACACCATCATTTACTTTGAGTGATTTCTTTTTTATTCCTCGGCATATGATACAAAAGAACAACACATCTACGTGCAGAGCTTCTAAACAAATACGCAGCGGTGACAGCAAAGCTGAAATAAGTACGGGCATTCGCCAGCAGCAGATGCTTGAGATTTGGTATTTGAAATTGGTATCAGCACTGAAAAGATGGTATCGGTGGATCTATAGTTTCAGACTGACAGGATATGATCAACTCTGTATCCTGTGTCAGTGGACTATGTTCCTCCAAGAGTACCTTCAGATGGTCTGAGCAGCGGATATATTGGAAATTATCAGTGTGGACCAGTTCAGTCAGATTTACACACATTTATAGTAATTTAAAAAGGATAGATGATAGTTTTCCAGCCTAAATTGCATTGTTACGGGCCATAGGGTCTTTGTTTTGCTTTCTTGCTTACATATTTGAAAGACACTCCGTTAAAGTAGTGCAGTTTGCATGGTATGGTAATGGTGTTTCTCCAGCTCTTAAAGTTCAGAATTCCTGATTTAAGCTTTATCCTGCCAGGAAGGTCTCAGTGTTTAAGTGCTCTTAATCTCTCCTCTGGAGATGCATTCTAATTTGGATTCTATACAGCATGTAACAGATTATGTAGATTTTGGCATGGGCTCTCCAGGAAATTAGGGCTTCGTAAACTTTTGCCGCTCCGTCTAACTGGTTTTAAATCACTTCTAAATTTCTGCTGACAAGCTTTTCTTTCTTCTCAAATAGTTTTTTAATTGACTGTTATCTCTCATTGGCAGGGTGGATGTGGTCCATCTTGCCCTCTATAACCTGGGAGTGCAGAGTAAGAAAAAATACTTTGAACTGGAGGAGATCCTCAGCTTCATCAGCAACAACTGGGATCATTTCCAGCTGGGCAAGGTCACACAGCCAGATAGTGCTTTCAGAAAACAAGTGCGCAGGCACAGTACCGATGTGCAAAATCTCCTTGATTGATTGTATAATTGGTAGTTGTTGATAGTTGGAACATGTTCTCAGACAGGATCTTTTAAGTGCAAATGGACGCTGGCAACCACATGTCATTTTTGTATCTCCCCAATTCCCTGCTAATGTCAAACTGCTCTGCTGTTTGCTGTGCTGTCGTGTATAGTATGACAAAAACATCAGCGCTAAATTAGCCACACTGCTGTTTGAGAGCCATAACAGCTACAACAGAAGGCTGTGTGACTCATTTGTCTTCATTCAGATGTGACAGCTCAAGACACCAAGCTAAGGAAACATTTCATATAGTTCCACTTTGCAGGGTCGATTTTTCTCTCATTCTCTTTCTGTTTTACTCTCAATAGCTCACCAACACCCCTCCTTCAGAGAGAGGCCAGCTCATCCTTGATGCTCTTAACAAGTACAAAAGCAAGTAAGACAAATTTTTTCCGCCTTTCTCTAAAGTGGTCGCCCAGCCGGGCAGTCCTAATCTCTCTGGGAACCGCTAATATGATTCAAGGCTTTAAAACCAGCTTCAAATGTCCTGATGGGGAATTGCTGAAACAGTGCCACAGCTGCTTCAGGACTAGTTTGGAGTTTATAACAAAGAGCATGGTAAATGAGCTTGCGCATGGGGGCTAAGAACTTTAAATCTTCTGTCGCAGTAGTCAAAACTGACCTGCCAGTTCCTGTAACTCCTGATCAGGGATTAAAGTATTTTAACTAGAGGTGCACCATCGGAATCATACAGAATTGGAATTGGCTGATTTTTGCTCCTAACGTGACATTCAGTCAGCCAGTTCATTTTTATTTTAGTGTTGATGTACATAATATTAGCCAACTAAGCACACAAGCACAGCATAGCTGTATCTCTGAATTTTTTGTCTGAATTTCATTTTGTGAGTTCAGACCATGCCTTCAACATGTGGTGGTAGTATGAGGGAGGACTGAGGGAGGGGGAAGAACTCTGAGAACTTGGGCTGGAGCTCTGAGCAGCTTCTGTCTGTAGCTAGAAGGCCAGAGCCCCCCTCACAGCTGTGGTAGGACTTATTCAGGACCGAGGAACAGGGAGAAGATGGGGTGGCGGAGGGAATCGCGAACACTTAGTCACGGGAACAGAAGGTGAGGATGTGAATTTATAGGGTGTTAGGTTGGAAGAAGGAGAGGTTTCAGCCATGCTCCTCCCCCCAAACTTATGTTATAACATAACTACATGTATGTCTGTTTGTGTATTAGGCCTACTTACTAGCCTCACTGTTCATTAATTTAGCTTGCAAAGTGGGAGTTTTGGTAAGGTCAAATAAACATTCTTTTTGTGGCCTATTGCTTTAAGAAGAAACGTCGGCTAATAAAAAGGCCAAAAATTAGCAAGAAATTGGAATCGTCCATAAAAATAATTGATGGTGCACCTCTAGTTTTAAGTAAGTAAGTTTTTGTATTTTTAGATGTGAAGCGCCTCATGGACCATGCTTGTATCTTACTCATTAACTCAGGCTGAAGTACTATAAGCACTCAATTAGATTTTGATGCTTCATGTTATCGAAACATTTGTGTTCACAATTTGCACTAATGAAAATGTCAAAATAGTGATAAATACGTATTTCTTTAGGTTTCTGTGTGGAAAGGAGATCAAAAAAAGGAAATGCATCTTTCGGCTGAGGACGCGAGTTCCTCCCAACCCTCCCTCCAAGCTCTTCCCAGAAAAGACCCCAAAAAGCGAGAGCAGCCGGGGCTGCAAGAAAGGAGGCGTGCGGAACGGGTGAGGAGGCTGCACTGAACCGTGCGTTTACTGATTGCACTGCATCACACAGAAGTCTGCGCATGCTTCAGTACATGGCATTGCTTTATGAAGTGTACTTGATTCAGTCATGCCACATTACCTTATATGGTTCACTTTTTATAATGTGTATGAAGTGTTCTTGCTGCAAAGATGCGATACATTTATTTAGTACATCTCATACCTTTTTTTGGGTGATAGATTATATAAACAATTATTTCTGATGTTAACAATTAACTGATGTTGTCTAAGCTCAGACAGTTTGTCTGTGGTGCTTATAAGTAGGGCTGTCACTGTTGATTATATCAGTATTTGCGTAATCTACTCATTATTTTGAGGATTAATTTATGTTTTAAAATGGCAGAAAAATAAATTATACATAGTCTTTCAAACATTTCAAAATAGGTTCCTGGAAAAAGACAAACTAGGAAGGCTTGAAATATTCTGCCAGCTACAGAAACAGAACCTACTGGACACCAATTTATTTGCATTGCTTGGTGTCCAGTAGGTTCTGTTTCTGTAGCTGGCAGAATATTTCAAGCAACGATAGAACGAGAAAACACAGTCGGACTACCAGTGAGCACATTGTTGAAAGCAGGGTTGGGATATCAGAGTCACGTTAAAAACGAATTCTCATACATATTATATATTACCTGTAAAAATTGTAGTCTGCAACCTAATCTGAAAAATTACTAGGATTATTAGTAATGTAGTCTGATTACTTTCTGTTACTTTTGAATCACTTGTCTTTTAAAGTTAAATAATTAAATAAAGGTAAGAGAAAAAAGATTTCAACATGATGACTAACTTAACACAAGGCAAACAGAAAAACTGCACTGGTTTGTGAAGCTAAATAATATGTGACTTTATTGTCTGTGCTTTATATCAGTCAGAAGTCAGACGATCAATCTGATTGACAACTTTTGAGACCCTTTGTCTACAATGATTCTGAAATTCTAAAATCTCTTTAAATAGGGCTGTGTGATAAATTTGTATTGTTATATGAACATGAGTTTATGTGATATGAGTTTCCACGATAAACACATGGTTATGAGTTGCGATTACAGGACACATAACATGATACACACAGCGCCAGAGAGACATTATTACGTTACCGGCACAAACCATTTGAAGCACACTATTTTAATAATTTCTCGCTTCTCTTATCGTTATTGTGAAATCCAGCAGCTTTATCGAACATTGCCTTTTATGTCATTATCATATAGCCCTACTTATAACTGACCATCAGTTCTGTTCTATCTATTAAAAGGCCTGCGCTGGCTCATAAGCGTTTACTCCTGTGTTCCACATTATTTTTCTTAGTTAACGTTAATTCACTTCAGTGCGTTTCAGCAAAAGTTAGACAGTTTTATGTGGCGATAAAACGAGGATATTTTTTTTGTTCTCATTCTTCTAATTTTTAATGGCAAAACTAAGATCTGCAGCATTTCCCTGGAGATATCTCAATCAGGGAGTTACTTGATGCAAAAAAAGCTGCAGATCTCAGTTCTGCCAATAAAATAAAATACTTGCTAAAATTTCTATAGATTGGCTGAATAAAAGCCATAAATAGCTGCTATGGAGAATAATTCTTCATATTTCTCTGCTGTTGTAACCCCAACCCCTTACCAACATGAAAAACTCTTCAAATCTACACAACCTATGACCTGTTTATCATTCGGGAAGGTGAATTTCGATGGAAGGCAAATGTTTGCATGTATGTGATTTGAACGTAATCTTGTCAGTAACCACTCTGTTTTTTGTAATTCTTTACTGTACTGTAACTGTACAGTTATGTAAGCCTGGTCGTAAGTATACTTATAAAGAACTCCAGCTGAAACCTGCCCAGTGCAGTAGACCAGTCACAGTCAAGGGAAGGTCTATGAGCAAGCGATTTGGTGATAAGCACCAGTTACAGTCACAGTGGAGCTTTCAGAACAAACAGCTCACACCAACACGTCGTTTTGGCCGAAAAGAAATGTTCTGCTTTAAAGCGTTGAAGTAACTGCTGGCTTTACTGTACGAGAGACCAGTAAGAGAATTTAAAATATGTATTATAATTATTTAAATTGATAAATAATCGCTGTCATTTCATTGAGAAGGTAAATTTTAAGTTTTACGTTTTTAAATCGACTGATTTCAATAAGGTAATCGTAAGAGTCCTATGAGAAAAGCTGTTCTTATAAAGGATGAGAGGAAGCTAAAAAGCTTAGCCTGTATATACTTTCCTATGTATTTTACCCATGGATAACCTCATCTCTGAAATGTAGCTGTTCATTAAGGGTGAGAAAATTACCCTTAGCTATTATGAACGTGTAACTGTTTGTATTATTGCCTGCGGTTGATTTGTGTCTAAATAATAGCACCGGTGTTTACTCAACACTCTCATAGAGCGGGTGAAATGCTACATGCGCCGAGTCTCGCAGCGCTATCGTTTTCATCTCGCTCAGGAACATCCGAAAATTGTTTTACTTATTAGCGTTGCTTTGAAGTGTTGATTGGGATTAAATTGCCAAGAGGGGAGGTAATTATGGCAGGTACCCCCTGCCAGTCGCTTTTCTCTCAGAACCAGCGAGTTAAAATGAGCTTCCCATTGCACCCAACTGTTCTCCTCCCAGCAAACAAACGCCTTACTGAAAAAAACATCTTTTTTTGCCAGATTTTAATTCAAATTTGTTTCTGGGTCTCAGCAGTTTATCTTGCCAGCCCTGCCCATCTTAGCATTGTTACAAAATACATTTGTTTGTCTAATATTTGTGTTTTGTGTAGTTGTTCAGTATTATTATTTCAGTGGGGGAATTTTAGACTTTGAGCAGGAATTCATCATAAATTCAAAGCTTTAACACTGAAAAATAGAAAAGTAGTTTATATTCAAATGAACATCTGTAATTCAAGATGTTTTTGGGGCCTTTGAGTCTGTTTAACCAATAGTAATGACATGTTGTGCATGTTTGCAGAAAGGCCTGAAAGGAGTAATTGGTGGGGAAGCTTATTTATTTGTCGTTGTGCTGAATAGTGATGATTAAGTGAAGTTGTTTTTCGCCTTTGCGTCTTTGTGGTAGCTGTGCTCCTATGGAGAAGCGGAGGAAGAAGAGGTCTAAATGGCTGCTGGAGGATGCTATTCCTAATGTAAGCTCTTCACCAGCTTGCTTTTTTTTCCCCCTAACCTTCTTACTGCAGTGCACAAGCTGAAGTGTTCTCAGCTCTACTTTTCTTGTGCTGTTCAAAATTGCCTATCTATCTTAAACTGTCATAGCACTGAAAAATGAATTGAAATCTGAACCTTTTTTTCCGCTATTTCCAAAAAGCAGTAGCTGTAAGGCCGTCTCCTCTTGTATTCTCTTCTGAAATTTTGTTCTTTTCAAATCTTTTGTATCTTTTCTCAAATCTTTTTGAATCTTGTTTATTCTTCAGTCTTCTCAAACCTTCTCTGCTCAAACCTTTTCTTCTCTTTTCAGTCCTCTCTTTTCAAATCTTCTTTTCAGAAACTCTTCTCTCCTCTAATCTTCTCGTATCATCTTTTCTGTTCTAGTATCTCCTCTTCTCTTTTTTCCTCTTGCCTTCTATTCCCTCATCTCTTCTTTGCTCTTTCTTCTTGAATCTTCTCAAAGCTTTTCAAATCTTCTCTCGTCTTCTCGAATCTTTTCAAATCTTTTCGAAACTTCTTTTTCTTTCTCTTCTTTTTTCCTCTCTTAAAATGTTCTCTTCTTAAATCTTCTCTCTTCTTGTCTTCTTTTGTCTTGTCACCTCTCCTTTCTCATGCCTCCATAAGCGTATTGACTTTTTAAGTCTCACTTGTCTCAAGTTCACTTTTAGTTTAGCTGTCTCCTCTCCCCTCTCATTCACACTTTGATGTCTCTTCGCAACATGATGGTCTTATTTCCTGGCCTTCTGATCTGCCTCATGCCACACAGACCTCGCGTGTCACTATGCTCTCTTGCTCCCCAACTCTCTCTCTGTCTGACTATTCTTAAAGGGATTACATTGCGCTTCTGAAGCATTTAACTGACAAATCCTTCAGAGAGGTCTCGTCCCCAGACATGTTTTTCTTTAACAGCAACCTTCTGACACTCCAAGCTAATAGCACAGAATGGCTAATAGCATGACGAGTGGCCTGAAAGCAAAAGCTTCAAAGAGCTCATTGGAGTTGCAGTAATAGTGCTGACACCCATAACCCATTGTAGTAAGGGCAGAGGTAATTATACCTGAGTGTCAATGAGTCAGAGCAGGATAATGGACATTGTGTTGTCATTTAATATTTCGTGTGGAACGTTCTCTGCAGAATGAGCTGATGTCGACCTGGAGCTCCAATCATCACATGGCTAATATCTTTGACTTCACACTCGATGAGCTGCAGAGCTTGAAAAGGTGAGATGAGCCTGTCGGGTGGAGGTGCGTGGGTCAGCGCCCACACTTCTAAAGGAAAAGACCCAGCACAATTAAATATCATAAGACTGACAGACTATCTCCATGCAAAATGATCAAAATTCAAAGGTTTTGTCTTCTTTTTGTATATCATTTGCTCGATTTTTGCGTTTTTGAACCTGAAACCTCTCGCTCACAGCTCTAAGTCAACCAAAGTGGACTATGTACAAAGTTTAGGTTCCATAATTATGTTATGATCAGACATTAGCAAACAATGGCTTTTACCACTGTTGAACTGCAGGGCATTTTCATGATATTTAGTTTTGCTGAGGTTAGGGTTCAGATATTCATGTATCAGTGAAAAGTACATTGATATTTTTCAGTGTTTCAACTGCACTGCACTAAATTCAGTTAAACAGGTCTAGTTATGCTCTCTTTGGAATGAAGCATCCAATTGATCAATGCTCTTTAAGTACTGACGTTATCCATGATACGCTCAGAAATGCGTATTGTGACATAATTTATCATGTAAATGTTGTCGTATTGCCCACCTCTACAATATAGACTATGTAAATGACATTAGAACAGTCAGTAATATGTAACTAACTTTTCTAACAGATTAGATTCCCAGATTCATCATTTTCCCATCCAAAATTGTTTAGCAGAGGCTAAGACATGGAAGACTGCTTCTCTTTGTCTGTGCGCTTTATAATAATTAAATCTTTTAATAATAACATAGTTCCAGTTCCACACCTCTGTCTCTTTCTTGCTCTCTCTCTCTCTGTTGACATGTGGCATGCTTAACCTTTCTCCATCGCTTTTTGAATTGAATTAAACACCCATTTATTGGCTTCCGAACAATCGCATTCATTTGCATGTGTTTCCCTTTAGAAAAATCTAAAAGGTTTACTCAGTCTTATTTTTCTCCTCCTCCAACAAAAATCATTTTTATCTAGGCGGTGGCGGGTGAAGTGATTTAATTACACTTCTCAGTAAAGGTTATCGCCTTCTGAGCAGGCCAGAATAATAAGCGCGTGGTAAACACTGTAGGGACAATTGGAGCACAGCCCCGCTTTCAGACGCAAGAAAGGGAATCTGTGAGGGCTTGTTGAAGTCTAGAAAGGAGCTTCAAATAGAGTTTGGTCCTTCTAAAAAGGCCATTTTGGTTGACTCCCAAAGCTGTGAACTGCATTGAATACAGTCTTTTGAATCCTGATAAGTTCTGTTATGCTCCCAAAGACCAGGGAGGTTTGTACTGGCAGTTGGTGTGATTAAAGGCTGTGCTGTACTGTATAAGCAGTTAGTCTTTGTTTTCGGCCCCTCAGTAGCTTCTGAGATGGTGAGAATGAGACATATATATACGAAACATTTCATGGAACTATAAGATTCTCAACTCTGTTTATATAGTGCACTTTAAAAGTATCTGAAGACATCTCTTTTTCTTTCTTCTCTCTCTCTCACTCTCCCTCTCTCTCTCTCTCTCTCTCTCTCTCCCTCTCTCTCTCTCTCTCTCTCTCTCTCTCTCTCTCCCCCCCTCTACTTCTCTGACTCTCCCTCTCTCTCTCTCTGTAGCACTAGTTCAGGACGGACGTTCAGTCTGGATCAGGACTCCACAGATGCTGCCAGCACCTCAGGCTCCGCCACCACCAGTGTGTCCTATGACTTCAGGTATACTTTTTCAAAAGTCTTCTTTATCCTTCTTGTAGGCCTGTTGGTATTTCTCCTTGGCGCAGTATGAAGCTTACTGGCTCATGGGTCACATAAGGACTGTATGTATATTCACTCCAAACTGCCTTGAAGTTGAGAAAAACATTTCCAGGCATATTGGTTTATCTAAACCAACCTCTCTGTGTCTGTGGAAAGCTATGTGATGACATTACTATTTACTCTGTCCACTGCAAAATTTACTCGCAAATTTTATCAATTGTTGCCTGATATATTTAAAGTAACAGTCATTACACAGGAAATTAACCTGAACTACAACATGAAAACAGGCTGTTTTAGCATGTCTGAGATAATGGCAAAAAGCCCTGAGTAAGAGTATTGAGATTGAATATTCCTAAAGCCATAATGACATAAATTCTGTATTCTAGCAAAATCTGTCCTGACTCTCACAGGCTTTCGTTTTGTTTGGCTCCACAAATTAAGTCTGGCTTCGTCCCAACTGGGAACCGTTCCTGTGACCATTTCTTTTAATCTGACCAACCAGTGTGTTCCTCTGAGCTACAGGGACATGGGTCACTATTGGGGGAATGCCAAATTGAATTCATAGACCATAACATTGAGAAAGCTCACAAGGTTTCAGATGGTTTGTACCAGGCTATAAATACAGTCTGTACGGTCCAAAGGACCGTGCTAGAGGTTCTGTGCCCAGTTGGATAAAACATTAATTCTTTCAGATGATTGCTTAAGGGTCAGATTTCCATAACCTAAGTAAATTAAATAAATGCTTTGCATAAAACAGCTTCAATGTTTTCATTGGGTGATGAACATTATTGAATGTAAAGTTTAATTGATGCTATAGATGTGGCCGAATGGCCAGGACTCATCAGTTGGTCAAAACGTTGATTACACACTTTATAACCTGAAATTTATTGGATTGAATTGAAATTTATTTAATGATGAAAAACACACATAACGCTACACAACAGCCATTATACATTCTTCACATAATCTAGGATTAAAACACAATAAAGCCCTAAATCTTTTTTCTGTTGTCCTTTTCACATAAAACACACAAACATATTGAACATCACAGAGCAGTAAGCACAACACAATACAAGACACACCAAGATTAGAGACAGTGACAGAGTGGCTTTCCTGATTAAATCATTTGTTTAGGTGCTCTTGAAAGATGATAAAACATAATAAAAACTAAGACTCTGCTTGCTTACATATTGCTGGATAGTCATCCTTTTGAACTCAGTTTAAACATTCTTTCTGATGGGCTGCATTCCATGCATCTATAGCAAGTTTGTTCCAAAGCCAGAATATAAAAGCATAATAAAAAAATATGTGTAATATATATAGAATATATGCAGAATATAAAAAAAGTATTTGTTCCCAGTTGTGTTTTAAACCTGAATGGGATACAATTTGTGGAGCTGCCTTGTGTATAGTGTGCATGAGTGTCTCTAACCATAGAAAAGTAATTTGTTAAGTACTTTGGGGCTCTATTTTTAATTATTTTATTTTTCTTAACATATGCAGCACTCCCTTCCACTGCTAAAATGAGTAAATGTTCAATGTGGATGTAATTTTAAAACAACCCTGAGCAATTTGTTTTGAGCTTTTTGTATTTTATTGAACAGTATCTGAGTTAAACCAGTGTACCGTGAGATGACCACATAATCTATGTGACACTGAACTAGAGCTCCAGCCAACATTCGCAAAACCTAGTTTGCATTGCAATCCAAATAGTTACTGAAGAATAGGGATGTAATAGCCTTTTAGGCATTTTAAGGGTGTAAATAATACTAACCAAATAAAACTAAGGAAGCAAATTATCTATGCAGTATTTTAGTTTTGATTGCTTATTTCCCAGTGTAGAGGTGGTTGTCATAATCAGTATTTGATATCAGATTACAAGAGTTTACTATGACACAGGTGTTTACTTGAGGAAAATGATTCAAGAAAACAGTTAAGGGAGAACTTCAGGCCTTTTGTGCAACTCAGTCCTTCAGGGTTTTCTTAAGGGGTAACTTTACTTATAATGTTTATGCACAAACCTTCAGGTTGCTATTTTTGTGATTGGGCTCCCAATTAGAGCTTGACCAATATATTGGTGGGCTGATAATACTGGCCGTTATTGATGATCTGCAGTTTCATTGGAATCAACAAAAATATTGCTGATAACGCGCTGAAAACTAGCACTTTTTTGGGTCACTACATTAAACTTATAATGCAGAACCTTTGTCACTTGTTCCTCTGAGGAACCCAAATGAAAAACACAAAATATCATGTTTAGTATAGCAAAAACTCCAGAGTGGGGTTCCTGCAGCGTATTGCATTTCATTTTAATTCTTCAACGTAACCTGCATGACCATATGAACAGCTACCTGGGTGTGAGTCAATCTGCACATTGCTAATTGAAACAGAACTTCACTGGGTCTTTAGCTTTGACTCCTTTTTAAAACTCTTGTTTGAGCTTTTTGAGTCTGTCTCTTTCCTTCCTGGTTCTCTCTCTTTTTTACCATTCCAAAGCATTCTCTTTCTGGTTTCAAAGCAGTCTGTTCAACCCACGCCAGCCCAGTCTAACGTTTGATTGCTCTCAGGTGGGTGTGTCCCTTTCCCTTTCACCTTACAGTGCAGAGTAATTAGTAGAGCTGGAACACAGGATGCTGTCACTGCAGCGACTCACCTGCCCTGTCTTAGCCAGCCTTGCCCTGGAGTCAGGGGAGAGTGGCAGCCGTCTGTCACCTCACCCGGCGCTGGATTAACCACCCCTGACAGCCTGCGGAGAAATATGATGACAGATTATGGGCTATTTACTGTGACGGGCACTGGTAGATCAACAGAACTCCTTTGTGGCTCTCTCTCTCGACTGGAGCCTCTTAGACAGTCTGTGAGGAGAGAACTCTAGGTTCTAGCTTATGGTGAAATTGGCCTGTGGAGATTATGGCCATAATACTGTTTTAGCAGTTCAGGGCTGTGTGTGAATGCTGCTGGGCCATTTTACAAACACCACCAAGTGCTCTGTCCTCTTGTGTGTGTGTGTGTGTTTTTTATTCTTTTTATATTTTTCCTTTTTTGTCTCTCTTTTTTGCTTTATTTCCTGGGAGAGTTTTGAAATCTGACGTTCCAGGACATTATTGACATTCTGTGACGGAACTTTTTTTTGTGCGTCATGTTTTTTCATCTCCGCGTTCCAGTGCCGCAATTTATCCTCGGCGTCTGAAGCTCATCTAATTCCCGGCTGTGACGCTCCACGTCCCCTGGGCCAGTTCAGGATGTAGTCAGTAATCGGTTTCATTCCTTTTTTTTCCCTCCTAACCCAGCACTGCTGCATTCAATTTGGCCTGCTGTGAGAAACCAAGGGCCTATGCTTACAATAACAGTATGTGTGTCTGTGTCTGAGAGAGGGAGAGAATAGAAGGGACTTGGGAATGGTCTCCGCTGACGGTTTTATTTATTTTAGGATGTATGCTGCTCATTAGTATTCTCTCTCTGCTCAGCCTGTTTGGAGAGGATGAGAACATACACAACTTGGGGTGTGTGCATATCTGTATTTGTGGCTGGAAATGTTGGCGCGAGTCGATGCAGGCTTTGGAATCCCAGGGCCGTCCCCTACTGTGCCTGCTCGCAGTGGGATAGATCAAACACGCCACTTACATGTATTTGCTTCCCATGCACCACTTTCATGTACTAATACTGCAGCGCTCCAGTTCCTGTTTTAGCAGCTCTGATCATTCTCAAACCCAGCGACTCGGTGCGAGGTTTTCAAGTCCTGCTCTGCACATTTCCCCTCAGTGTCTAGGCCTGTAGGCTTAATATGGTTTTTATGAAGATTTGGAATGTCCCGAAAAGATTTACTGAAGAATAAATTAAATAATGGGAAGTCCATCTATACCATATGACCTTTAAATGGTAAAAGACCCAGAGAGCCAGGCAGCTGCTCCATAAAGCAGAACTGAAATATCTTTTAGTGAACTAGAGCCACATCTAGTGGCAGAAGATAGTGTAACTACTTCATTTCAGATGTGAATAAGCCTGGTTGATGCCTAAAAAATTATATTTTCTTGCTAAGAAAAAAAAAAATCTGAATTCTGTTTTCCACACATTTACCAGGAGATTTTCTGTCATTATAGCGGAGATGCTCTGGAATTTACAGTACTGTGCAAAAGGCATACCTTTCTTTTTATTTAATTTGGCGCTCAAAATGGCCATTAAATGCAAGTTACTTCATTTTCTGCATCAAGAAAAAAGAAAGAAACCATATTTACAGAACATTACACAGTAGCCAGAACTACTACATATGATATTCATGCTTTTCAATATTTGTTGTGTCCACTAAAGGAATTTCTACATCTCTGCTGGTTGCATTTTCTGCTCCTCATAGTGGATGTAATCTCAATTACAAATTTAGTCCATAGAACCCTACTGCATGTTTTAGATGTCCAGGTTTAGTGTTTTAGTGCAAATTATCCTCTTTTTTTGTCTATTTCCTTGTCTCAGTGTTGGCAGCTACACATCCTTTCAGACCCATATTGTTGTTGTCTTCTCACATTGGAAGGATAGACAGAAACACCTGTGAATTTTTTTTTAGATCTGAAGCAAGAGTGGAGCTTGATTTTCTCGTCTTTCTCAATGATAGCTTTTTATCTGATGTTGACAGTTTAAGTGGTCTGTCAGATCTTGCACAACCTGTTTTCTCTTTATGCTGCAAAGGTTTTTTTTTTAAACTCCAGTTTTGGAACTTCTGGGTTTTGCTTTTCCTTTGACTTTCCCTTTTCTTATGCAAGTGGATAATCCTGTATCTAACCTCAGAAATATGTCTCTTACTTAATGGCCATTTTGACTGGAAATTAAATAAATGAGGAGTGGTCTCTGACTTCTGTACAGTACTGTAGCTGTAGATATCTGTGGAAAACCAGTAATATTTTCATCGTTTTACAGCTGATCTTATTGTTCCTGACACTTAAGCTGTTTGGAAAATGTTAGTTGCAATCTGGGAAGCCCCCAGCAAAGACCATGGAAAATTAGCTTTACCAGTGCCCAGTGACTTATTAATGCTTTGTAACAATCCATTATTTTAACAGTCCTTGGTCAATAAGAGTAAAAGAGAGTATAGCATTTAAATATTGTAAATGTTATTTAATATTAGATCCTTTTAAAGGATCTGAGCTGTCAGTTGCAAATTTAGCATTATAGCGTACTTATTTATAGCCGTGCCAGTTGCTTGGACTTTGCCTTTGTGGGCTCAGCACAAACAATAAAACACAATACACCAATAACAGTAACAATTACAATCCGATTACGTTGCTCTGTCATCCAGTCCTAGATGAGAAATGGGTCTTGGATGAACTCCAGCGTGAGAGCAGTTGAGGATAACTTGTTCTGGCACTGATCCATTGATCTTCCATGTGTGCAGGAAGAACGTGGGCAGTCGGAAGAGGAAGTTGCCCTCGTCCAATTACAGCGTGCTGGCCAGTAAGAGGGAGGTGATGGAGAGTGAGCTGAGCCCTGTGGGTCTGCCTGGCGACGAGCCACCGGGCGCCATCGACAGCCACACCTTCGAGAGCCTCAGCGAGGACGACTCTTCCCTCTCTCACCTAAAGTCCTCCATAACCAGCTACTTTGGCGCTGCAGGCCGGCTCACCTGTGGTGAGAAGTACCAGGTCCTGGCCCGCAGGATCACCCCAGAGGGCAAGGTGCAGTACCTGGTGGAGTGGGAGGGCACCACGCCCTACTGAGGGTTTTAAAAGAAGAGGAGGGATCAGTTTTAACACAGTGTTCTCCACTTCCAGTCCTGGAGGGCCACAGCACTGCACAGTTCAGGAGTTCTGTGTTTGTTCTGCTCTAAACTCAAAAAAGGCTCTGCTGGGCAAGGACACTTAGCCGGTCCAAATTGTCCAGAATTGTGGAAAGTAGGGTTGCACGATATATTGTTTGAACATATTACCACAGTATTACCCTTTGCAATATTCTTTGCAATTTTGCAATATATTTTGCAAAAGACTGCGGTTTGCAGATGAGCCAAATAAATAATCGTGTGATCCAAAAACTTAAAAAATATACAGAATACTGCATTATTTAAATTAACATGCAATAATAATGCAGGTCGATGTTTTTTCATATCAAATCAAGGGCTCACCAGTATGTTTAAAATCTGTTGCGAGAGACATATTGCAAACTCAGCATGTAGAAATATAATCTCAGTATGGTGTTTTGTCCATATTGTGCAGTCCTGATTGGTAGTCAGTGTCACTGTGAACACTCTTTAATGGATAATGTGATGTCAGCGATGTGGTGCTTCTGACAAACTGGATCGTCTGCAGTGCTGTGACCCTACAGGTCTGGATCAGAAGAACGCTGGTTCAGACAGAGCGTCACATTGCCCAAAGTAGTTCTCTTTATTTTACTCTTTTCTTTACAGCTCTAAACATCCAAGTTATAGTTTTGTTAAAATACCGTAAGTGGGAGAACATTCACATTCTATGCTTACCCCACGTTGGGTACTGAAGTGTTTTAATTCATCGTCACAGTGTTCTGTTGACAGGGCACTACGAACAGCACAAAACTTGTTGTTTGGTTCACAGTCTTAGCATGTAGTACTTAATATTCACGTATTTTTGTAGTTTCATCTGTTTTGGTTGTAGACTGGTTCTCACGTTTTTCAATGAGACCATCCTCCATGGTCAGAATAATATGTATTTCATGTTCCTTTCCAGTTAAGGTGTTATGACAACGAACAGCTGATGAATGTTAACCCTGTATCCGAGTTAAACTTACAAAATATAAGCTGTACTCCTTTTCTACCTAAAGGTGGCAGTATATAGACCCCACCCCACCCCCCAGGCTATATTGCTCAAAAAGGCCTTTAACAGCCAGAGTTATTTTCCAGTATTTTATTTTTGGGATGAACAAAGTTAATCTGTTCTTCATAATGTTGTTAATGATACATAATTGATATTTTCCTTGTTGATCATATCATTAGATTTGATATTGTTGAAGTTTCAGTTATGGTCAGATGATTACATATAAGATGGATATCTGGGAATGATACAGACCTTTTAAAAATGTCTACAACACTATAAACAATTAGACAAAGAGCGAGTGTTGTAAACGTCTTGTTTTGCAGAAGGAATGGTACTTTTGTATGAGTTTTATTTTTGCACACTCTAGATTAACAGAAAGGAAACTCTGGTTGTGTTAGTAGTTTTAAAATGGTTTTAGTCTGCACTTTCCTCATTTTTTTCCGTCATAGTTTGCGTATTTGTAGGTGAAGGCGTAACCAAAGCAATGCAGATACTATTGTAAGAATTTGTACGACAGTATTTCCAGTTGTGCCTGCATTCCTCCAACATGGCGTGTGTAGTACAGAGCATTTAGACTGCCGGTGCAGTTACAGAGCACTTATAGTGTAGTAGAGCATGTAGTAGGTGTAGTATTGGTCCTGACAGCACTGTGCCATTCAATCGACTGGAATAAGTTTACCTGATCGAATTAACACTTTGTCGTAACAGCGAGCGTTAAATTTAGTATCACATTGCCTTCAGGATGTCTACAGTGTACATCAAAACAAAATAAATTACAGACTTATCAGGCTTTAGATGCAAAATGGGGCTACTTTACTTAACTTTTTAAGTCCATGCAAAAAATTCTACGGTTTAATCTCCTCTTTTCCGTTTATCGTGTGATTTCTCAGTGCTGCTGTTGCATTTATTTGATCTGTAAAGATCTAACAAAGAGGAAAATGCATGGGTTTGTGTTTAGTTTGTGCCACAAACTAAATTTTTGAACAAGAAAATGCATGAATAGGAATATTTACAGGGCTGATTATAATTGGATCGTTCTGGTTTTGTTGTCACTCGCTTGCTTCACTTGCTTCATTGTATGGCTAGACAGTATGACGATATGTTATTGTTATCATGATAAATTGTCACAATATGCTTCTCTAAATATGTCATACTTCTAGAACACAGAAAAACTATCAGAAATAAGATTTAAAACGATCAGAGATCCTGTAAACAAAAAGAAGTATATGATGATATGATATCAGTATTTTTACAACACTGAACAACTGGATAGTTTATAAATAAGACAGATTTAAACCAGTTGTAATTAGAATTAAACCAAGTGTATAGTAAATAAATACACTGCATGGTAACACATATTGAAAGCGTTACACTGTTTGGATGTCAGCCAATAATACTATTTCTTATAGCTTTTGTTTTAAACATGTCTGCTGTTTTGCTGGTGCATTCTGTTCCAAATTGTTCATAAATTTTAGAAAAAAGTAAATACTGTGATACGTATTGTGTATAGTGAAGAGTTTAGTTCAATATCATGATGGTATATTATGCCATGATGTTTTTTGCTGCATCACAGAGCCTTACTTCACAAGTTAAATCAGGTGTGTTAAAGCAGAGAAAACTGTGCAGTGCTATGGTTCTCCAGGACCAAAACTGTCCATCCCTGGCAAATTTCTTGTTAGTGTAAATATCCATTTGCAGCAGAAAACTTTCACTGTCACAGCCAAGTCAAACCACTTTTATTTTACTCCTATAGCATTTTGAATTTTAGAAATATGTTCTGTAATGTCGTGTCATTTCCAAAGAAATTCTTCCTGACGGTTTTGTTTAGCTACAGCTTGTATACGAGTCCTAAGGGAGGGTGGATTTCACCTTTCACCTAGTTTCAGTTGACTGGAAAATTTACGTTGGAAGTATGATCTCTCTGTGTATCATATTAGTACGATGAGTTTATCGGACATTATTAGTTTTTACAGTGTTAAAAAAGATTAAATATACTTTATTATTTACATGTATATAATTGGAGAAACGTTTAGCCCCCTTTATCGTATTGCACTATTAACACGTTTTCTCAGCTATGCAAGCTATTATTGGTTAATTGATTTGTCATATATTTTATAATTGATTAGAAGAGAAAAAAACCTTTTTATACAAAGCACTTACGTGTGCATCTTGTTGATATATAAAATGTTTTATTGAAATATTTCCCCAACTAAAAAACATTTATGCAAATTCATACAAATTCCAGTACAATAGTTAAAGCATAACACAAAGCATAAGTCAAATTTTAACCTTGTAGATCATCAAGTTTAAGTAACGGTTGATAGTTCAGCTGCTGATTCTGAAGTTGTTTCTAATCTTGTGGTTATGATGTTAAAGCTCAAGTCAGGAGCTGCTGAAATGGCCCACGTGTGGCTGTGTAGCCACCAAACACCACCAAAAAGCCCAGTGAGAATGTTTCTTAAAGCTGCCTGGATTGATTGGATTAGCAGACTGAAGGTGGCATCCGTTTCCCTGCCACTTTGTCTTGGCTGCTTTCCGTTGGGAGATGACTGAACATCTTTAGTCCTGTAGAGCAGCTCAATCATCCAGACGATGATCTCACAAACCATCCTGACGGGGCTGAAAGTAAACTGAAATAACCATGTAGTGTTTCCTACAACAGAGTTGTAATGTAACTTGCTTTAAGCTGTACATAGGGAACTTATAGGTCTTTTTTCGCCTATATTCATGTATGTTAGATGTGTTAACATAGGTTTTGCAATATATAATAACTGGTGTTTCATTCATGAACAATTCACTCGAGTTTTAAACAATAAAAAAGCATTTTGTCAGAATGTGATGCTTCTTTTTTTTTGTTGTTGTCACTTCTGGACTTAGCTTGGCCCATGATCCGTATCAGTGTTTGCTTTCCACGACTACTGAAACCAGTGCCATGCGCAGAGGCCATTAATCTGCTGAACATTGTTTGCTCTATTATTATCTATTGTGAGTATATATTCATGTGAACTACAACAGCCTGTAAGAGCGTGCAAATATTGATTATGGCTGTTTGCCTGGTCTTTTTATATCAGACTTCAGGCCTGTTTGAGGACTATTTTAGTAAAGCTTATGGAGATAATTTGACCAAGAAGTTTGAATAACATGCTGGATAACAAAAAAGACAGCAGAGGGCGCCAGAGTCACATTCACAGTAGCTTAGACCACGACTTAAAGGGAAATTCCACCCATTTTTAAAAATTCTTCAGAATTCAAAGATTTACTTTGAATTTATTTTACAAAGATATATACAGTCATCCAGAGTCATTTGATGTGAAATGGTACATTGTAGAGAAACCTAACAACTTGTTGCAGTTTCTTTACAATGTTACCAGAGGTCTGAAGAGTTCAGCTACGCTGGTTTAAAACTTAGTTAAAATCCATTAATGGCAGAGATGCAGACGAAAACAGTAACGTTAGCCAAAGAAAACTTTTTTTTCCAGATTTATCATAATTTCATCCTTATCAACATTCAGAACATGTATGTTCATAATAGATGATAAAAAAATGGATTTTTTGCGATGTATACATCCTCTGGTTCCTATCACTACTACTGTGATAGCCCTGCTGAAAAAAGACCATCAGGATCAAAACCTGGTTTTGCTTTGTAATGGGAATTGGCTTAATGGTTACCATGAGAGACCGCTAGTTTCCTGTGGGACACCTTTAGATCCCAAACCATCGAATGCTTCTGGAATCAAGCCCAGAACAGCTCCCTGGAATTATATACATCTATCTGATATTTCTGTCAAAATTGAGTTATTCAATGTTCTTATTCTGTGAACTACTTAACATTATGTCAGGTGTATTTTGTCTGCAGTTTTGGACTCTTTATCTAGAAAACAAAAAGTTTCTGTCTCCAAAGTCAAACTCTAGCTTATATAAGTTCTATAGCTCTATAAGGTTCTGTCTGTGAGCCAGTCAGCACTTCGAATACACACAAGAGGACCAATCAGGTTCTGTTTCTTTGTCATATCGCTGCACTGCTCAGTGACTGCAGGAAAAGTTTATAAAACCTTTACGAAACATGAAAACGTTGCTGAAACTCCGCCTGTCTTCTTGCAGTTTTTTAAAACAAAAAACGTCTTATTGTCTTGTAATTATTATTTTCAGGCCTTAAGGATAATTAAATAGTGAACATTTGAACTGATGGGCTCTTAATTACAACATAAACATTCATTTCATTCAATCGTCCATCTTTTCTTTTTCTTATTTCTCCCAATGTAAGATATTTTGGATTAGAGTCACATTTCTGATATAGAACAAAACCTCACACTGCCTTTAGACTGACCGGCTACACTTACCTGCTGGGACAGTTTATTACAGTAGCTGGTTGCTGTCTAACCTAAAGGAAACTAATGGGTCCTACCTAAAACTGACCTTGCACTGGACAAAATATTTAGAACTGACCTTTATACTTAATCTGCAATGCTTTTTTGAATAAGAAAAAGGATGATGTGTCCTAAAACAAGAAGTAAATTCATTAAAAAATAATAAAAATAAATGCCATAAAAATGACGTAGAAAGCATTAAATGTAACTGTTCTGATAGATGTAGACACAACACTAATTTTGTTTTAAAACAAGTTACGAGTGTAAACTGTGTTCCTTTTAAAATCATTGCTTCTTTTAATGTTTTGCCATATAGAACCTTATAATTCCAAGCAGAAAGTGAGTTCTTAGGATTACAAGGTTCTCTCTGCAGTTGACCTGTTCCAAAAAACAAATGTAATGGGATTTCGATATTGTACATTTAGTGTGTCGTTTTCATGTATGTGTTCCACCTATCAGTTTTGGAATCCAAAATATGTGAAGCTCAATATCTCAAAACTGCTCCGAACGCAGAGAGAACCTTATAACTCCAAGGGGACGAGCTGTTGATGCATTTAGATCCTTTTCACTGTGATATCAACCCAGGAGGAAAACACAAAACACCATAAGTGACTATTGGACACCACCAGGAATCAACTTTTAATGGTTTCCATGATTTCTTGCAGCAGGGAGTAGACTTCCCAGAGGAAAGAAGAATTCTCCTCTTGATCCCAGGTACTTCTCCTAGACCTGGTTAGGTCCAGTTTGAAGTCGTGAAACTTAAACCATTTCCACCTGTTTCTGAAATTTGGCTCCTGAGAAATAACCTTCAGATTTTCTCACTTCGATCAGAATATTGACTTAACTCTTTAGTGTCTGACTCGTCCTCAGCTGAATAATATCTCCATAAGAACAGTGCTGGATCTCATCGTCATCTGTCAGTGCAAAAGGAGAACGTCTCATAGAGAAACGCTGAGGTTAATCTCCTCTTCTGGTTATCAGAGATCAGTGATCCTTCATTAATATAATATTGAGATCTGCTTTATTTCTCTGATCTCAAGAAAGATTCTTTTTACCCTCTGACTTGGTTTGTTTCTCTACACTGAACCGTTTCGCAGCAGAGCAGTTTGAATGGCCTTGTTTACATCTCAGTCATTGAGTCTGTCGAAGTCCCTTCCAGCAGCGTCGCTCTGGGGTCCATGTTAGCTCATTAGCTTGAGTTTATGAGGAGGTACCTGTTAGTCCCACTCTCTATCTCTCTCAACAAAGAATAATTTGACATAAGAGGAGATAAATACTTGTAACAAATGGTCAGTGAATGACCAGGGCTTTCATTCTTGTCAAACTTGTCAAAACGCGAGCAGACAAAGAAGGCCGTGGCTGCTCTCCCAGGAGCTAATCCATTAATCTCATTAAGGTGTTAGAGGACGTTAGGTCGCTGCTAGCCTCCACTTCGAGCTGGACTTATACACAGGGGTCACTTTTCCTCCTGACTGAAAACTCTCTGTTTCTCCGCTTACTGCTCTGGATGTCGGGCTGATTTGGTTAGCATGGGCTGAGGTAGCTAATACAGTCTGGCTGCTGCCAGTAGGTCCAGTAACTGAGGTAAGCTTGTTTGTTGTGAAGCGAAGTGATAGGGAGCTCTAAGGAGACCGAGGAGCTCCACCATGGAAAGGTCAGCGCCCATCACGACCCGCTGTCAGCACCAAGGCTGGATGGGAGTGACCGGTAAGTCTCCACGCTACACTGTTTTCCCTCTCAGCTCAGCAAGGGAAAGGCCGTTTAAAGCCTCTTAACCACGCTGTGGACTTCAGTTTGTGGCTGTTTACACTCCAGGTTTGTTAATGTGCTTTCTCTCCACTGTTCTCTGGCCTACAGTGCCTATAGGGAAATCTGATATATGGCAATATTTAGCCTTCAAATATATGACATATTAACATATGTGGATTTCGCTTATAAATCCAAATTACATTTATCACATATGGACATATATGTGACATACACGCCAACTTACTTGAAACTGGCATTTGCAGATATGGGACATATAGGCCCTTTCTGCCATATATCAACATATACAAATATGTGTAACACACATATTTAACAATATATAGAAAAGCTGGATAAAAAACATTACTCTAATATATTACTCATATATGTTAACATAGTGTTGTGTTTGATATATATATATATATATATATATATATATATATATATATATATATATATATATATATACATACACATATTATATATCATTAAAACATGAAAGTAATTAAAATATTGATTCCTGACACATTTAAAAAATGTAATATTCAAAAGAAAACAGATAATAGTAACAGTTATAACTATACTGGGATGAATTCAACCATGTATCAGACATATATGTATGATCTATATGTTATGCATATATAACCATTGTTGCAACGTGTATGTTCTTATAATTTAAAATATATGCTCAACTGGTTATGATATAGCATGGTATGTGTATGTATATATATATATATATATATATATATATATATATATACATGTGTGTGTGTGTGTGTGTGTGTGTGTGTGTGTGTGTGTGAAACATGCAGCAGCCAAGTGCATATAAGTGGGGTGTCTATCAATATTGCGTTATCGTTCTTAAAAGTACCAGCTATAAAATTCCAGTTTATGAAAAAGATACATTTGAATTGATTGTTTTTTACCAGCTTTAATTGCATAATCATGACAATTTTATCATTTTCACATGTTGCAGAGATGCATTTGTGCCACAGCCGTTCTCAGTTTTGTTCACTTTATGCATTTTCCATTATCAAGTCAGGATTTTGTAAGAGGAGGAGACTTAGTCTGATTTTCACTCTCAGATCTATAGAACAGCTCAAGTTGCAGACCATCAGAGCAGGAGCTCAAATCTTAATCAATACCCATAATGCATGCTGTTAGATGTAGTAAAAGGCTGTTATAATCAGATGTGTGTCTGCTTTGCAGATATGAAAGGCTCTTCAGTCCACTGGATATCTTGTGGCCAGCCGTTAGCAGAGCCCACTGGATGGAGGATAAAGTTCTGCCTGCTGACTGAGTGTGAGCTGGTTCTGCTCGACAAAGCAGAGGTGTGTTCTGTGGGGTGCTGAAGGGGAGGCTGGGATTCGGCTGATTGTGTTCCCAATCAGGGCTTTACCGACGGGGGGTTATGATAAATATGAAAATTGTATGTTTTAAAGTGTATGTTATGTTGTTATTCCCAGCGTGCTCCTGCAGGACTTACAGATTCCTGATTGGGGTCTTATATAACAGTTCTACTAACTGAAGGTTTCATATGGAAGGTCTTATTTTTCAGTATTTTTCTGTTGTAGAACCAGACTGATATATTGGTTGGCCAGTAATGTGCTGATGACCTTCGATTTTATTGGTATCGGTAAAGAAGCCCAGACAATTACTAATTTTTCTGTCATCACTAGGATTTACACTCGTGTTTTTCAGACTGGTGAAGCACCATCATG